AACCTTTAATGGGGAATACCCTATTCTTTGCTTTTTGCCAAATTCTTTGCTAAAACTGTAATTTCTTACAGAATTGCCCAGAAATTCACTACACCCAGATGAAACTGAAGTGGGGTTACTCAAATTTCCCAAAAGAACATATTTTGATGTGGATTGGGTAGCAAAACTATATCCAAGATGACTCATTTTCTACCACACTTTTTATCAATCAAATTTGTTTAATTTATGGATTTTGGTGTAAAGGGTATGTGAAAATTGAGAAGCAAAGGAAGGCAACCTAGAATTTGGAAGGTATAAGTGGGTTTAGTGGTTTATGATGGTGGCCATTGTTGTGGGTGTGAGCTGCGAGGTGCCAGCTGAGTTAGGAGAGAGAAAGTGGGAAAGGCCGAAATGGTGTTGATGTCCGTTTCTGTGTCCACACATTTTGCGGTTACTAGTTACGGAGTACTACGTAGTGCATTTGCGAAATTACGACAGGCCCCATAGTTCAATTAAAACCGTAAGCATGTAACATTTGCATAATAATACTACGGAGTAAAGCTGTCAATTCGGGTAAACGAGTCGGTTTTGGGTCGGGTAAGAGTGAGTCGGGTCAACTCGGGTCGAGTCAATTTGGATTAATTTCATAATATATGTGGGTCGGGTTTGGGTCGGGTCATGCTTGAGTCGGGTCATATTTCTTATCGGGTTTGGGTCGGGTTAATAACAGGTCGGGTTACATTCAAATCGGGTGAACAATAGGTCGGGTTTACTTCGGGTCAAGACGGGTTAGGGTAATTCTCGGGTTCAAGTCGGGTTCGGTTCAAGTCAATAATTTGCGGATTATAATCAGGTCGGGTCATTCTCGGGTTTGATTCGGGTTCGGTTCAAGTCAATAATTTGCAGATTATAATCAGGTCGAATCATTCTCGGTTTTAAGTCGGGTTCGGTTCAAGTCAATAATTTGTGGGTTATAATCAGGTTAGGTCATTTCCAAGTCGGGTCATTCTCGGATTCAAGTCGGGTTATGTTCAAGTCAATAATTTGCAGGTTACAATTAGGTCGGGTCATTTCCAAGTCAGATCATATTCAGGTTCAACTAACTATAAATAGATAATTATCATTTTTATCAAGTTAATTATTTCCTTTGACTATAATTGACAATAGTAATAGGGATCTATACTCAATAATTTAGGAAGATAATTATCTCCTTTGACCATACAACAAATATATACTATATTTAGCTCTTAAATTTGAGGATAATGCTCCTTTCTTTAGCTGGCCTGGACCGACTTGGTCTCCCTAGATAAAATGCTTTGATCAACAATAATAAGGTGGTCTCAATTGCATTTAAGGTTATTGAAATCGGGTCGGGAACAATTTGGGTTGAATTTAGGTCGGGTCAATAACAAGTCGTGTTAATTTCGAGTCGGATTAGTAATAGATTGGGTTAATTTTTGGGCCGGGTAAGTAATAGGTCTGGTAAATTCGGGTCGGGTCAATAACAAGTCAGGTTGAATTTGGGTCAAGTCAATAACAAGTCGGGCTGATTTGGAGTCGGGTTTGTAACAGATTGGAATAAATTCGGGTCGGGTTGAATTCAGGTTAGCTTAGTAACAAGTTAGGTTAAATTCGGGTTTTGACGGGTTAAAACGGGTTAGGGTCAATTTTCTTTCAAGTTAGGTTCGGTGCAAGTTAATTAAATTGGCCGTTGTAAACCAGTAATCGGTGCAAGTTGTAAACCGATAAATTGGTCGTTTAACATCAAATTGGATGGTTCCACACACCCAATTGGAATCTTGTAGGGTATTAAGGACCATGGTAAACATTTCGCCAATTTTTATTTGCGGGAAAAAAAAGTCAAAAAAATCCAAAATTAAAGACTAATATCCACGCTTTTTGAGAAGTTTTGAAGATTTCGGGGCCCGTTGTCGAAAAGTCTTGAAATTCTATGGGATACATCTCGGGGTCATATAATGTCGTTTGGAACCATATATGATCATTATTTGGTGTCATTAATGTTCGTGGTAGGCTTGAATTAATGAAATCGGTGCAAATTGTAAAACGGTAAATTGGTCGTTTAAAGACAAATTGGATGGTTCCACCCACCCAATTGGACTCCCGGAGGATATTAGGGACCACAGTAAATATTTCGGCAATTTTTATTTCTGGGCGAAAAAAAGTCAAAAAATTCCAAAATTGAAGGCTAATATCCACGTTTTTTGAAAATTTTTGGAGGTTTTGGGGCCCAATGTAGAAAAGTCTTGATATTTTAGGAGATACATCTCAAGGTCATATAATGACGTTTGGAAACATATATGATCATTATATGTTGTCATAAAGTATGCCTGAGTTAATGAAATCCGCGCGTGCAAGTGTAAACCAATAAATTGGTCGTTCAAAGGAAAATTGGATGGTTCCACCAACCCAATTGGACTCTCGGAGGGTATAAGGAAACATAGTAAACATTTCGGCAAATTTTTATTTTTAGACGAAATAAGTCAAAAAATTCCAAAATTGAAGACTTAATATCCACGCTTTTTGAGAAATTTAGGAGGTTTCGGAGCCCGGTGTCGAAAAGTCTTAAAACTATAGGGGATACATCTCGGGGTCATATAATACCGTTTGGAACCATATATGATCATTATTTGTTGTCATAAATGTTCGTGGTAGGTTTGAGTTGATGAAATCGGTGCAAGTTTTAAACCGGTAAATTAGTCGTTTAAAAACAAATTGGATCGTTCCACCCACCCAATTGGACTCCTGGACGGTATTAGGGATCATGGTAAACATTTCGGAAATTTTTTATTTTCGGGCGAACAAATGTCAAAATTTTCAAAATTGAAGGTTAATATCCACACTTTTTGAGAAATTTTGGAGGATTTGGGGCCCGGTGTCGAAAAGTCTTGAAATTCTTGGGGATATATCTCGGGGTTATATAATGTCGTTTGGAACCATTTATGATCATTATATGTTGTCATAAATGTTCGTAGTATGCTTGAGCTAATGAAATCCGTGCGTTTGTAAACCGGTAAATTGACCGTTTAAATGCAAATTGGATGGTTCCACCAACCCAATTGGACTCTCGGAGGTTATTAGGGACCATGGTAAACATTTCAGAAAATTTTATTTCCGGATGAAAAAAGTCAAAAAATTCCAAAATTGAAGACTAATATCTACGCTTTTTGAGAAATTTTGGAGGTTTCGGGGTCCGGTGTCGAAAAGTCTTATACTAGGGGATACATCTTAGGGTCATATAATGCCGTTTGGAACCATATATGATTATTATTTGTTGTCATAAATGTTCGTGGTAGGCTTGAGTTAATGAAATCGGTGCAAGTTGTAAACCATTAAATTGGTCGTTTAAATGCAAATTGGATTGTTCCACCCACCCAATGGGACTCTCGGACGGTAATAGGGATCATGGTAAACATTTCGGCCATTTTTATTTCCGGGCAAGAAAAGTCAAAAATTTCAAAATTGAAGGCTAATATCCACTATTTTTTAAAAAATTTGGAGGTTTCGGGGCCCGGTGTCGAAAAGTCTTGAAATTGGTATGTTGTCATAAATGTTCGTGGTAGGCTTGATTTAATGAAATCTGAACAAGTTGTAAACTGGTAAATTGGTCGTTTAAAGGCAAATTGGATAGTTGAACCCACCCAATTGGACTCCGGGAGAATATTAGGGACCATGGTAAACATTTCAACAATTTTTATATCCGGGTGAAAAAAAGTCAAAAAATTCTAAAATTGAAGACTAATATCCACGTTTTTTGAGAATTTTTGGAGTTTTCAGAGCCCGGTGTTGAAAAGTCTTGAAATTCTAGGGAATACATCTCGGGGTCATATAATGTTGTTTGGAACCATATATGATCATTATATGTTGTCATAAATGTTCGTGGTAGGCTTGAATTAATAAAATCGGTGCAAGTTGTAAACCTGTAAATTGGTCGTTTAAAGGCAAATTGGATGGTTCCACCCACCCAATTGGACTCGCGGAGGGTATTAGGGACCATGGTAAACATTTCGACAATTTTTATATCCGGGCGAAAAAAAAGTTCAAAAAATTCTAAAATTGAAGACTAATATCCACGCTTTTTGAGAAATTTCGAATGTTTCGGGGCCCGTTGTCGAAAAGCATTGAGATTTTAGGGGATATATCTCGGGGTCATATAATGCCGTTTGGAACCATATATGATCATTATATGTTGTCATAAATGTTCGTGGTGGCGTGAGTTAATGAAAGCAATGAAAGTTGTAAACCGGTAAATTAGTCGTTTAAAGGCAAATTGGATGGTTCCACCCAGTCAATTGGACTCCCGGAGAGTATTAGGGACCATGGTAAACATTTCGGAAATTTTTATTTTCGGGTGAAAAAAAGTAAAAAATTCCAAAATTGAAGGCTTATATCCACGCTTTTTAAGAAATTTTGGAGGTTTCGGAGTATGGAGTACTACCATTTGTGTAGTGAAATGGCGAAGGGTCAGCTTCAAATGCACATATCTCTCAATTCAAAACTAGTTTGGAGGTGATTTAAGTTAGATTTAATTGCTTGTTTTAAGAGCTTTTCAACAATACATCATATGTCAATTTCGATAGGATTCATAGGAACGAGAATGTTAGTTGTTACCGAAAAATTATCGAAGGTGAGAACTTTTTTAACGAGTGTTGTCGTGCTGACGTATTAATGAAAATATTTTCACATTACAAAGCAATTATTTTCATTTATCACAATATTTACATACTCCTAAAACAAATACTTGTATTATCAATAAACAAAGTGAAGAAGAGGGTGTAAAATTTTATGAACAATTATTTCAAGAATTTTACACTTATTTCAAATAATTACCTTATGTCACCTTTTGTGCAATTCAATTATAAACCATTTAATTCAATTCAGTTCCAAAAACTCAAAATTCAACTACAACTATGCAAACACTAATCGATCTTCCGGTTGAAAGCCTAAAAACCAAAAACGAGAATTGCATCAAGTCTTGCAACATTAAGGATGGTCCTATAATCTTAAATTCACAAAAACTGGCAAATAATACCATGTTGCCCCAAACAAGAAGGGTGACCCAAGTAAACCACTGAACTTGTCGCCTATTTAAAATTAGAAATCAATTTTTCAAAAAAAATTAGACATCAAAGTCACGACCCCTTCATCAATCATCTCATTCTTCCGGCGTTCTTCTATTAAGGTACTATCATATCTTTTCTTTGATTTCTTTCTCTTATCTTTGTTTAGTTTCCTATCTAATTCTAATTTGTTCTTCAATCATCCTGTTTTGTAAAAAAATTTGCACTTTCATCTTTAGTTTCCCCCAATTTCTAAATTTTGCTACATATGATTTCAATTGCATTCAACTTTATACATTATTTTGCCACATATTGTAAATTTGCTAAATTGCTGATTATGGTTGTGGAAGAATTTTTGTTCTTCAATTGATTCAATGGAGCCATATAGAGCTGTGGTTGCTAATTTATCTATTAATTTTTGATTGGGATCATGTATTTATATTGTGATTATGATGACTATTATTGATTAGGGCTTAATTTTATAAAGATTGATTCTTTATCTCTCTCAGTTTTAGTAAAGTTTATTCATTTGTTGGAATTCAAATTTGCAGTAGACTAGTAGGATTAATCATTTTTGATGCAATCTTGGAGTTCAAATTGGTATACAAAGAAAACACACAATATGTTTTCAACCGGGTGTAGCTTGTTTTGAAGTAGCTATAACAAAATGTTGAATTGAAGTAGCTTGTTTTCTTAGTATACCAATCAAATACACAATAGGTTGTCATTTTATCCGGTTGCATTTAGTTCTATTTACTGCCGGGTTTCTACCAAAACTTTTATTTGAACGGATATGTGTTTTCCATACGTTTTAGCAACAAATATGTGAGCTCTAGTTTCCTGGAGTTCATTTAGTGTTCAGGAATCAGGAAAATGAATTATTTCTGAATTTCAGATTCATTGAAGGGAGGAGTATGGCAGCAGTTGATTCATCGAAGAAAGGATCATCCTTTTCGAGTTTCCAGTACTCAGGATTGAAAAGATTGGGTAGGAGGAACCCGTTTTTAAGATACGGGCTTCCTCTCATTTCCCTCACAGTGTTCGGGACTGTGGGCCTTGGTCATATGTTGCAAGGGAGGTAAATTTTTTTACTGCTCTCCTTTTTAGGTTCTAAATGTGAATTCATTGATTAGATTTAAATTATTAGCTTAAATGTGAATTCCCTGCTACTCTAAGAGTTTGGTAAAAAGATAGATTGATTGTTCCATGTTGCTTTAGCTTGTCAACATGTAATTAGGAGATTGGACTTTTTTGTTTTAATGTCTAAAAGTATCCGACAAAATTGTCTGGTAAAACTATATTTATCTGGGATTTTTGTCTTTGGTGAAATATCATGTGTGGTTATATGGTGGTGGGTAATCAGGCCATCAAACATACTTTCTATGTGCCTTGGGGGTGGGGGTTTGGGTGTTACGTAGGTTAGTGACAAGGTAAAGAGGAGTGTAACCTCGGTTCTTGAGGGCTGGTTATGGCTAATTATTTGGTTTTTTTGTTTAGCGTATAGTGAGAAATTGGTACATCTTATGCCAGGGGAAGGTGGTGACTGGTGAGTGTTATGCTCTGTGGTACATCTCAATACATTCTTTCTCTGAACCTTTAAGGCCTTACCCACTTCAGAATTCTGTGTTTCTCTTGATCCTCAGACCTCAGTGTCTACATTTGAGTCATTTAGAAACTTTAACATCAATATTAGCTTTTTTTTCTCTATATAATTAACTTCAAATTTATTTGAAAACCATTTTTATTTCAAGAAATTATTTTACAACATACCCTAAATTGTGGATGTAACCTAGTATATGCTGGACCAAAATGGATTTATTAAAATGGATTTATTACAAATCTAGATTAATTTGTGGGATCTTCTCTTGGCTTTTAAGCCTTAAACTTCTTATTTTCCTTGGTAAATGGTAGAACTAGAGCTGAGCAGTTATTATTCATGTAAACAGGATTTAAAGCTAGAGTACAATAGCCCTCTCAACTTCTCTAGTGTGATACATCCAGAGTAATCTATTAGAGGTTTGACATCAATGGCTATGCAATTGCAGTTATTGCACTTTGTGGTGGTGTTTTATACAACTCTTTTGAAGTCAAGGACATTCATGCATCCATAATTGCTTGACTTAGAAATTTCAAAGAAGATTTATGAAGGGTAATAGTCCATTTAACATCATGCTAGATGGGTGTTAACCATTGTACTCCCGACTAGAGACAACTTAATGCACAGAATTAGAAGAGCTTCTTTGAAGCAGTTTGAGTCACTTTTAAATGTGTTGTATCTAGAGAGTTACAGTGCTTTTGATCTGATTTTAAAATAATTGTGCTCGAGGAATATACACACAATTCTTCCTCTCTCCTTCCGTCTCCCAACCCGCTTTCTTTGTTCCTTATTTATTAATTTGGTGGTGGTTTGTGGTGTTTCGAGTAGCTGCTTCCCAGTTACCAATCTATCCATTCTATTGGCACTTGACTAGTTGACCTTGAACTAAATAGGGCTTTTTCCTTGACTCTGCACTTAAAATTGATCAAACTCTAAAGGAGTTGAACTTGTGGGGATTGTGTTTATAAATTCTCCCTTGGTAGGATTATGGACTATAGAGTTAAACCTGTCTGCACAGTAGACCAGGAGTATGCTAAAGAAGTGACGAAGTATGCTTCACTTCCATATTTAATAACATTTCATTTATGAGTTTGTTGAAGCCTCCTGAAATCCAGTTTTATACTTCAATTTGCATTTGGGAATTATAATTTTTGAGAATTACAATTATCAATTTTTCGGTGGGAGGAGGAAAGTAATATGCAATAATGCTGTTGTTCATATATATTTTTCAGTAAGGATATTTCCAAAGTAAAAGATGATAAAGAATGGGAGATCATTGAGGAACGGAAAGCTCTTTCCAGAACTGGACCTGTTAATGCATACAATCCGAAAAAAATTTCATTGGAAGAGGAGCTAAAGGTATGAGTCTTATTATAAATATTTTGTGTCGAACAATGTACCCAGTGAAACTTAAGGTGACTTACAGTACTATTGGCTTTGGACTTGCCAGGCATTTCAGGAGAAAGTAGATATAAACAGCTACGAATACAAGAGAATCCCTCTGCCCAGTGAAGGCAAGTCGGCTAGATAAGGTTTTTGTATCCAGGTGTAGGCAGCAGCAGAAGCATGCTTTTCAAGTTTTCATGCCATTGCGTTTTTGTTCACTTTTTTGGCAAATCCCGTAGTTCTTGGGTCACTGACTCACTGTATACGTAGTGAAAATGTAATGCTTATTTCAGTTATTTGCTTTTTTTTTTTCTTTTTTTTGCAAATAAAAAGGATATCTGCACTTTGATACATGATAGAATCTGCAACTAACATGAATGGAAGAGAATGTGTGTATATTCACGGCTTTAAGTTGATTGAATCTCAAATTCTTAATGGATGATGGTTCTGTGAGGGAAATTTCTGGTTTCTAGTTTGTCATGAAGATTTTACAACCTAAGGTACCGTTTATCTCACTTAGCATATTCTAGAAAGAAGGGGTTTCGCAACAGAAAATGATGTATAAAACTGGTGAGTTTTTCAATAGGTAAACGTTTCTGTGAGGGAAATTTTTTTTGTGGGGAAAGGGGGGAAGGAAAGTACAGGGAGCTAAACAGAAAATGTTGAGTTTGCTAAAAATGTGGCATATTCTACCAGATGTCTGCTTTCAAAACACAGTGTAAAATTTCTTGCAATTGTTAATGTTGAAGTTATATGGTTAATAATAAGGAAGATGCTTTTCGTTAGAATTTAATGCGCTCAAGATCCCATAAATAGAAGAGATCGATTGCCTAGTCCTGTTTAGGTGTGTGGAGCTTCAAACTGAAGTCCTGAAGGCTGGAACTATACTATCTATGAACAGGAAAACATAAAGATTTTGGTCACTTTCCATCCCATCGTAATTCTCAGCACATTTGCTTGAGTGAAAATTTACGGTATAGCTGATTAAGGTAGCACATTATTATGTAGTTCAGACATAATTTACTGAGCTAAACTGGCCTGTGTAAGTGACATGGCCGGTTCTGATCCTGAGTAACTCTTCATCTTATAAGAGGGTTATCCTGCAAGGTTAAAACAGAATAGACCGTTTGGTTTTGAATGTTGGGGCTTTAATTTAATAGTTTGAAGGGTAGTTGTTTTCTCTGATGATCTTCCAACCACCAGTCAAACATTACTCAACTTCAAAGCCCTTTACAAAAATGTCATCCAACTTTCCCCTCAAAATCCCACTTTTTCTCTACAATAACCACACTCACTACAAGTTGTGCTCTTGCTCCAAGTTCAAATTATACGAGTTTCTTAAGTGCTTACGCAAGTAAGTTTAAATATTCATTTTGATTATCTCAAATTATCATTAAATCTTCAGGTTAAGGGTCATAATCATATTTTAATTGTGCATGTGTATGTGTTTGTTATGAATTAAGTTATGTAGCCCTTTGAAATTTCCCTTCTCCTTCCCGCCTTTTGTGTTTCTTGGCTTAACATACTGGTTGCTTCTTACTTTTAATTGTGTTTATGATTGTGAATTCAACCATTTGGAATCAATGCATGCTTGTATTTGAGTTGGTTATGTGATGTTCCTAAAGAGATGACATTTTGATGAGTGAATTTCAGAACATGGAGGTAGCTTATATGGCTCGATCACTTCAACCATCTGATACCACTATCAGTGTTTTGGACCATTATTATGGTTGGCAAAGTGGTGAATTTTTTTAATTTAAGTACATCAGCACTTTGGTGATTGTAACTAAAAACTAAGTTGAGTTTGAATTTTAGATCATATTAGTCAGCATATACAATTTTCTGGTTGTAATTATGATTTGCTTTATCCATCATTAGTATATGCAACCTCTTCATGATGGCATTCATTTCTTGTATCTAATTAAGGATGAGGTAAATAGAAGATAATTCTAAATGCATATTCAAAAGCTTGTATAGGGACACTTGCATCTGCTTAGTTACAGTGGAGCCTGGCAGCCTGCACTTATAATTTGCCGAGTGATTGGTTTATCAGGTCCGCAGGCTGTAACTTGAGTCATGGCAGAAGGTCTGAAGGAGCCACTTTTAAATCCTCAGGAATTTATGAGAGATGGGATTGATTTGGTAAGATTTGATTAAAATCATAAGTTACCAGATTTTGATAACATTCTGATCCGATGTTTACTAAAAAATTGTGGTTGAACAGGAACGTTTACCTATGGAAGAAGTTTTTGAGCTATTGAAATCCTCACAAAACGGCCTTTCAACTCAGGATGCTGAAGTCCGCTTGAAGATTTTTGGACCCAATAGACTTGAAGAAAAGCCGGTATGTTTAAGGGGCTGATATAGGTCACAGGCCATCACACTCAGTATTAGAGGCACGTCTAATATTTAGCCATGCTTCTTCTACATTAAAATGAAATTAAGCATATAATAAATAAGGTAGCTAATGTAAAATAAAATGAACTGATAGATACTTGAGAATTGAAATGCATCAAATAATTAGAAGTCTTACTACTTTATACAACAAAACAGTCTAATAGGACTATAGTTTTCGCCATGATTCAGGAGAACAAAGTATTGAAATTTCTTAGTTTCATGTGGAATCCTTTGTCATGGGTTATGGAAGCTGCTGCTGTGATGGCACTTGTCCTTGCCAATGGAGGAGTAAGTTAATTCAATTACTTATGTTTCTGATATTTCTGAGTGTATCTGATATTTTGTGTAATTATGGTCATTCCATCCATCTAATCATCAGTATGACGTGTATGTGCTTCAGCACCAAGGACCAGACTGGCAGGACTTTGTAGGCATCATGTGCTTGCTGCTCTTAAACTCAACAATTAGCTTTTTGGAGGAAAATAATGCAGGGAATGCTGCTGCAGCACTTATGGCACACTTAACTCTGAAGACAAAGGTGTTTCATTAATCCAATTTTTTGAACTACGTAGATCTTCCCTTGTATTACATAGGTGCATTACATTCATAGAAACAAAACCAAGCACTTGATTCAAGTACTGATTCTGTAGAGATCACCATGTTAGCTAGTATTGTTATGCCCTAGGGAAACTATGTTACAGAGGAAATAATGTCCGCTTCATAAAGCAAGTTTTGGGAAATTTAAGCAAGATTTTGATAGAAGAGTGCAAGATCAAATGTAGTTTCCCTAGGGCTTTTTCAAGATTGTTTAGATATGTCTCTTTCTCTTTGTATGGTATTCAACTATTCATCTCCAATGCTTAGTCTTTAATGCCATTACATTCTGTCAGCCAGTGTTTCCTCAAACACAAGTCAATTTATGCATTATATATGTTACTTTGTTATCTATCTGCTGTAAAAGCTTGTTATTGAGGAAGTCAAACTTCCTGGATATTTTGTTCAATCTAGGATCTATATAGTGCCTTCCTTTTAATCAGGTTACATTCATCTGTTCATCTTTCTTCATTGTCTATCATTTGATGGTTGGAACTCTTGCAGCTTACTGTGGATGAATCATCTGACAGTCTGTACATTCAGTAGCTTATGTAGAATAAAGAATATATATTCACTACCTTGTTATGCAGGTCCTTAGAGATGGACAATGGCAAGAGCAAGATGCAACTGTTCTAGTTCCTGGAGATATTATTAGCATAAAGCTTGGTGACATCATTCCTGCAGATGCTCGTTTACTAGCAGGAGACCCTCTAAAAATCGACCAGGCAAGTTGCTCTACTGATCCTCTCTGTACTTTTATTATGTGCGTGTCTCAAAGCTCCTTCCAGTTCTTATTTGATAATTTATACTCTATCTAAAGTGAACCGGATGGCCTTTTTTTTCAGTCTGCTCTTACTGGGGAATCTTTGCCTGTCACGAAGAGAAGTGGCGACGAAGTGTTTTCAGGATCTACATGCAAGCATGGAGAAATAGAATCTGTAGTAATAGCAACTGGGGTGCATTCTTTCCTTGGAAAGGCGGCATACTTGGTGGATAGCACTGAAGTTGTTGGACATTTCCAGCAGGTATAGCACTGAAATATTATTTAAGCCACTTCTCTGCTAACTCATGAAAATATCTGGTTTGTATAAGACCCTGATGTTGCATTAATATCAAGCATTTCAATTTTCAAACTTCTAAGAATTAAGATGTAATGCTAACCTAATTTATGGCTTTTAAACTACTATCATCTGCTGCTTTCATCATTGTCAGTTTCAACTAGAAAGATTGTGTAGGAGTTTCCTATTACTTTTGCATCCCATGAAACTGGTGAACTTATGTGTGTGATATCAGTCTCTAAAATCCATTATACTGTAGAATTTTTCTAACATTTATTTTGAGATAAAGACACTTTTTTTGTCCTCATCCTTATTCTTTGGAATGGACACTTCACAATAGGCTAATCACGCCGTGACACTTTTTGAACTTCTCACTAATTGAACTATGAACAAAGATATTATCACTTGTCCAAATCTTGGTTATTCTAAATCATGTGTTGCTTGCAGGTCCTTACTGCCATTGGGAATTTTTGCATTTGCTCCATAGCAGTAGGAATGATTATTGAGATCATTGTTATGTTCCCTATTCAACACTGTGCTTACAGGAGTGGGATAAACAACCTTCTTGTTCTATTGATTGGTGGAATACCCATAGCTATGCCAACGGTTCTGTCTGTGACACTTGCAATCGGTTCCCATCGTCTATCTCAACAGGTGTGCTCGCAGATAGAGGGGACAAATTTGAAAAGGGAGGGGGTGTATTTTAGACCTATCCTGTGGATTGTCTGCCTTTTTACAATTGCTGTATTATACTGTGAAGGCCTTACGTAGCAAACAAATATTTCAGGGTGCCATTACAAAAAGGATGACATCAATCGAAGAAATGGCTGGGATGGATGTTCTATGCAGTGATAAAACAGGGACTTTAACTCTGAACCGTCTCACAGTTGATCGTAGCCTCATTGAGGTACTAGAGCTATCTTTGTCAAGAATAAAATGTTTGGAGTTCTCATTTCATGTAACAGTGTTGCTGTCTATTATCAGTGACACATCATGGTGCTATTACACTGCCTGGTGAAAAATAGCAGGAAGTTAGTTGGCACATCTAAATCTTGGTTTATATCAATGGTAAAAGTAAGCAGAAGGAATAAGTTTCATCTGCTTCTTATGTCAGTCCAAAAATCATCATGTGATCAGAATCATATTAAAACTCCTTATTTGAAATTGACATTTATCAATTCTGCTAATGCAAAACAAATGTGTTGTAAACTGGATGTTCTAGGTCAGATTGAGCCTTTGTACACCGAGACTTCAAAAAGAAGTCTAGTATGGGATTCTCCATGCATATATGTTGAATAGAGCAATGAAAGTAACCTGTTTTTTAAGTTCAAGAATTGAATTTTTTTTCTGTCAGGTTTTTAACAAAGACATGGAGAAAGACACGGTTATCTTATTTGCAGCAAGAGCATCAAGGCTAGAAAATCAAGATGCCATTGATGCTGCCATTGTTAATATGCTTAGTGATCCAAGGGAGGTAAGAGATGACATACCTTAAAACTCATTTTTGTGCCTCAATCACCATGTACTAATATCACCATTATCATGCTTAACTTTTCTTGCAGGCACGCGCAAATATCCAAGAAATTCACTTCCTGCCTTTTAATCCTGTTGACAAGCGTACAGCTATAACTTACATAGATAGTGATGGTAAATGGTACAGAACCAGCAAAGGAGCCCCTGAACAGGCATGCAACTCAAATAAAATTAAGTTTCCTGAATTTTGTGTGCATTGTTTTTAATAGCTGAAATCAAGTATCATAGTCCCCAAATTTGCAATAAAAATAGTGGTATCTATTAGAACTTCTGATGTTAAGACCTCATCAGGTTATAACAAAGTTGATAAATGTATGGTTATTGATTCAAGTACTAAATTGTTTGAGACTTGAGAGTATCTCTGATAATACTGTCATTGCCTCACATTTCTAGATAAATAATAATTTGTGATCAATTGTGCAACGATTATAATTTGTCACTATATAAACCACCTTCTGTCTTTTTCCTTTCCAGATTCTAGCTCTCTGCCAAGAGAAAAATGAGATTGCTGGAAAAGTGCTAGAAATGATTGACAGATTTGCTGAAAAGGGATTGAGGTCTCTTGCAGTTGCCTTGCAGGTACAGACATCCCTGATATCCTTCTTTTCTTTCGGATTCTCACATCTGACTCAAGAAAATTTCTGAAATATTTCCCTTTTTTTTTTTTTTTGAAGTTCTCAGTACTATTTTGTGATGCTGAGTGTTTAGTTGATGAGTTAGTATCAGTTTGTTATTTGTTCAATCAGTGCTGTCATAATTCTGGTACTTAAATGCAGATTGGTTCATAGAATTTTAAAGTGAATGATTGAGATTCAAAATACTTTTACCATTTCTAGTAGAGCCAAAATTTACACCAGTCTGTGTCTCAGTTATGAATATTATGATGAAATAAATGGATTCAGATACAATTAGAAACAACCTCTCTGTAAGTGCCGGAAAAGACTGAATACAGTCTACATTTTCACCATTAGAGGGATAATGTTTGACGTATAAGTATGGTTGAGATTTGAGTATATTGAGATCATTGAACAATTTTGGTAAGATGTGATTATACTAGTCCCCTCTGACTAGGTAGGGTTATTGCTACTGACATCTTGACCTCCTTGGTCTGGTAGTCCTTGTATATGGTGGAATCCATACTGAATTGTCATTTTTGTAACCAATTTTGTGAAGATGCAATGATTTTTACTTCTTAATAGTAGCCTCATAAACGTGGACACTTAAGAGTAACTTGTTGCAATTTACAGGAAATTCCAGAGAAAACAAAGTCAAGTCCAGGAGGCCCTTGGATGTTTTGTGGACTGCTACCTCTTTTTGATCCCCCAAGGCATGATAGCGCTGAGACCATTCGAAGAGCTCTTAATCTTGGAGTTTGTGTCAAGATGATTACAGGTACCTTTTGCATTTCATCCATCCTCTATCCTTTCCCTTCCTTGAATGTTTTACTTTTTATCCAATTTCCTGCAATAGGTGATCAACTGGCAATTGCAAAGGAGACTGGTCGACGCCTTGGTATGGGAACTAATATGTATCCATCATCATCACTGTTGGGACATGACAAGGAAGAAACTGTAGCCCTTCCGATAGAAGAGCTCGTTGAAATGGCTGATGGCTTTGCCGGTGTTTTCCCAGGTCAGTCTTGTAGATGAATCAGCAGTTGCATGCAATATGTTGTTGTTGGGAAGTAAAGATGGTACAGGAAAGAAACTTTTTCTCCAGCATATTATGCATTTTTATCAATTAAAAAAATCGCAAATCCAACTTATAATGCCAAGTAATTTAGAAGCTAAATCTGTCAGAAAACACCAATTGGAGAGAAATGCATCTCCCCAACCCCCCCCCCCCCCCCCCAACCTCCAGTATAACTGTCTCTATGTCTGAGTCCTGTTATATTCTTGAATTCGAGTTCATGGTTATTCATGTTGAAGAAATATAACTATTTCATACAAGTATAGGTTCATTTACTTATGCAGTTAAGAGGGGAAATGAAATGTACACATTATCTATCACCACTGCCCTTTTGATTAATGCTGTGACTCCGACTGGCTTGCAGAACACAAGTATGAAATAGTGAAAATTTTGAAAGAAAAGCGACATGTTGTGGGAATGACCGGGGATGGTGTGAATGATGCACCAGCCTTAAAGAAGGCAGATATTGGAATAGCAGTGGCAGATGCTACAGATGCTGCAAGGAGTGCAGCTGATATTGTACTAACAGAACCTGGCTTAAGTGTGATTATCAGTGCTGTCCTGACTAGCCGGGCCATATTCCAGAGGATGAAAAACTACACAGTTAATTTCTGTTTTAAAGAATTATGTTTTGCCCAGTATTGATGGTTTATGTCTCACTAGTAATTTTAATTTAACATTTTCAGATATACGCGGTCTCCATAACCATCCGCATTGTGGTATGTTGGATTCTCTAACCCCACCGCCCCCCACCCAAAACCACCAACATCCCCCAAACAACTCAAACAAAACTCTTTGTAAAAGCTTATTCTATGTAATTACAAGACAGCTAAAAAAAGATGTTGTCCTGTTTCAGCTTGGTTTCATGCTTTTGGCCTTAATCTGGGAGTATGACTTCCCTCCGTTCATGGTTCTGATCATAGCAATATTAAATGATGGTAATTCCTGTTGAAATCATATTTTTTTCACATCATTTCTGCATAATGATTATTTATTTGTTTCTAATCACTCCATCTTACAGTAAGACTTGAGAATATAACGGAGTATGTTTTAAGACTTCTTGCTAATCCTCATTATCAGCACGAATTCTGGACTAATTCATTCTTTTCTGCGTGAAAGTTCCTCCCTTAGCCTTAATTCTTGTACATCTAACTTTAATGCAGGAACCATCATGACCATTTCCAAAGATCGTGTCAGACCATCTCCTAGTCCTGACAGCTGGAAACTTTTTGAGATTTTTGCAATTGGCACTGTCATAGGGACATATCTTGCCTTAGTCACTGTATTATTTTACTGGGTTATAAAATGCACAGATTTCTTTGAGGTATTAGATGGTTACTGTATAGAGTAATGCAGACATTTGAAGTTTTGGCTACTTACATTCCTCATGCTTTTATACATTCATCAATTGTATCAGAAGCATTTTGGTGTGAGTTCTCTATCCGGAAACTCTGAGAAAATTTCATCTGCTATATATCTGCAAGTAAGCGTTATCAGTCAGGCCCTCATCTTTGTTACTCGCAGCCAGAGCTGGTCATTTCTGGAGAGACCAGGAGTGCTTCTCATGTCTGCATTCGTCGTAGCCCAACTGGTAAGTGATACATTAAACCTTTTATCCTTTTCCTTGCACATAATTCATAATTTTGCTCCTTGCATTTTCAGGTTGCCTCATTGATAACAGTTTATGCAAACATTGGTTTTGCTTCAATCAGTGGGATTGGATGGGGTTGGGTTGGTGTCATATGGCTATACAGTCTGGTTTTCTATTTCCCTCTTGATATTATCAAGTTCATAGTCCGTTACGCTCTAAGCGGAGAAGCTTGGAATCTTTTATTTGACAAGAAGGTCAGGAACTCATTACTCATAGCTGGACTTTCTTAATTCTTATTTATTTTTGAAAAGGAGAAGGCTTTCCCTATATTTATCTGCTTTTATCATGCATTGTTTGTGTTTTCATCAGACTGCATTTAGTTCTAAGAAAGACTACGGAAAGGAAGAGTGGGAATTCGAGGGTGAGGAGCAACCTGTAACTCGAAGACGGAGTTGTAGTCTGATTGCTGAACAGGCCAAAAGGCGTGCAGAAATAGCCAGGTCTTTAGTCAATTTCTTATATTATTAGAGACCCTGTAATTTTTTTAGCTTTATTAATGAGACCCTGAAACTTGCAGGTTACAGGAGTTTCACACATCAAAAGGACATGTGAAATCGCTTATGCGTTTAAAGAACTTGGATCTTAATTCATTCTCATCTGCACATACAATCTGATATGCCATGCAATACGAATTTTGGGTGAACAATTCTGCTTGCATTCGCTTACATGAAGATCAGGAATGCTTTCAAGAGTAGTGTTTGAAAGTACCTACATTTTTTAATTCAGAAATTAATAGTTCATGCTCCAGAAAGCTTCTCTGAATAACATAGATTCCAGTTTATAGAACATTATCTGTTGTAGTTGTTTAAATATGACTCGTTCTTATGGCTTATAGACCCGAGAAAGTTGTTATGTAATTGCCTTACAAGTTATTATGGTATTTATCAGTTATATGGAGTAGTATGCAGTATCTGTTATAAAACTGTCATGGTTTGGAAAAGGTATGATACACCTTATATAAAAACCCAGGAGCTTGAAGATAACTACCAGCACAAACACAACAAAAACGAACATGAGTGGTTTAAGGATTATCATCCTCTCAACGCACAAGTTTGAGAGATTTCAGACTTTCAGTAGAGGCATAATGATGTAAACAGGTAGGTAACAATGAAAAGGTGGTGTAAAAATGAATTGACAAAATAACATCATTTACAGGCAATCTTTGAATCTAGCGTTTCTAAACTAGCAGACCAATAAACTGGAAGACGTGAAAATCAACAAATAACCAAAACTTGGCACATTGGTGACTTGTAGTACCTCAGACCTTCAGCTAATCATAATTTTCCTTCTGCAAGGAGAAGTTTGTTGATAGTATATTAAGAAAAAGAAAAGAAAAAAAACAAAATTAGTTCCGTATACACCATCTGATTTATATATAAATATACTCCTTTGACCCAATTGTGTAATACCTGAGATGGTCTAGCCAAGGGTGAAACCTAAATGGCGGTGAGCCGGTGATGCATTACATTTTTAGATCTGTCATCTGCTGCACTAACATACACATACTTGTTCATCTGATGGAGGACATTCTCACACTAGCAAATTATCCTTGAAGATGGTGTTTGAACAACATTTATACCAAATGTACCACTCTCAAGCTCTATCGCAGGTCCTCAACCTCTACATGAGAATGAGACCTCAATGATTTCGCACAGAAATTAGCAATAATGTATAGAACAAGTAGCCATCATATTTATATATATAATTAATCTCATACAACCCTTAGGATCTCATGCATAACACTTTTTGGCAGTAGAAATATAGAAATTGATTTAGTCTAATCTTAGAGGAACTCATCTTGTTCACTTAACTGCTATCCATTTCTAGCTAGTCCTAGTCTGAACGCTATATGATTAAATTACACCAAACTACCAAAGCATTACAATCTGCGAATATAAACAAAATTTTAACATGCAAAGTTAGACGCCTTCAGAGGTTGCACACAATCCAGAGCATTAGAAGGCCTATCAAATCCAACAATTAGCTCATGCTGCTCCATGCCTCCGTGCAATCTACATATTTGTAATTAAATAGCTGCTTATTCAGTTGATTCATCATAAATTATCAGTCTTCTCTTCTACAAGAAAATGATTTTTCAGGATTTCAATAGTTTCTTCTCTTGCACTGCAAATATTCAAATATAAGACATAAGAATTTAACACATCATCATACTAAAACAATTACTAATCAGCACAGAAACATACAGACCAGAAGGGTCAATTAGATTTCTAACCTGCCAGGTCTTTTATCTTATATTTTCCAGGATTTGTCAAATCCACTATTGTAGATCCTGCACGGCCCATGGGAAGCTCACCACCATCATACACATAGGCACAGTGTCCCCACAAACTCTCGAAATCTTTGATGCAGACACTGCTACGATGTCCAGTCAAATTTGCACTAGTAAGAGCCAATGCACTTCCAGAACCCCGAGCAATGATCCTTATAAAATCACTATCAGGCACTCGGACACCAATACTATCTATCCCTGGATTCAATGACTTCTCTAGAATACTTGCCTCTCCTGAAATAAGTTGTTATCAGTTGACAGATCAACCATCAAGTGTTAAAGTTAACCAGTTATTGATAGAACTCCCTCCATCTGGGATTGATATGATAACTTGGGATAGTTGGATATATTGGTCACCTTATAAAAAGATTATGATTGGTTCCAAATATTACCCCCACCTGAATGGTGTGGCGGAGAGCATATGAGAAGACAGCTTATATAGAGGATAATACAGAGAATTCACGGTGATCATCAATTTTAAAGGGTCAAGAATATGTGTGAATTAACTTTGTATGGAGGGAGTAGACAGCATGGTATATTTACCTCTTCACAACAACATTCTTTATTTAGCTTATGAGCTAAAATGTACTTACAAAAGCAGCAAGCATCTAACTTATACATTTTTGTTTATTAAACAAACTATTAAGAATCAAAGAAATAGTTACAAACCTCGCCTCAAAACTAAAGTCACAGGACCAGGAAGGAGCGCGTCAAGCAAAGTATCAGGCAAATGATTTGTAAATGCAAAACGATTAATTTCTGACACATCCCCAACACATATTGCAAGAGGACTGGTAAGCTTGCGGCCTTTGATCTCATAAATCTTGTTGACAGCTTCTCTAGAGCTGCAGAAACATGAAAGTCAAATATAATAGGCTCAGAAAGTCGGAAACAAATTCATATTGACATTTCAGGCTAGCAACTTGTTTCATGAGACTGCATTGTGCATTTTAAAAAGATCTTAAATATCCTTACTTTCTTGACCTCAATGCTATAGAGATACAGAAAGGAAACAGGGATGTAGTTAGTTGGTTACTGTGGTAGAGAGAGTCTTGCATTATAAATAACAGGTATTAGTAGATCAGTTATATAAGGTCACACATTATTAACCCGCATGATACCCACCTCATGGTAAGACTAGATTTACCCAGCTCCATTGTAGAATGAAGTAATTAAGTAAGAATTGTCTGTCATGATCTACCAATACTCCCATAATGAAGAATTGAAGACCACATACTTATGCTATTTGGAAAGTTCAAAATGTTCCAACTTGTCTTTGAAGTTGTCCTAGCTTGTAACTCTTTAGATTTCCAACACAAACTTCATGGTCTAGCTCTTAATCACAAACATCATACTAGTAAAAAATTTCCCAAGGTAACAGCATAACTTATTACCCTCTTAAGCATAACTTAGCATATTTAGGAATTCATTTAAATCTATGCCTGACCTTAACCGCCTCTTGTTTAAAACTAAGTTCCTATTTTTATACCATATACTACTACCCTGAGTAATACAAACACCATAAATTTCTCACATTTATTTTATCCAACTTGCTTTAAGATATCACGGTCTTTTGATCTCAGATACCCTTATCAATAGGTCTCTTCATCACATTATCTCCCAAATTCATCCAATTGAACATATTACATATACAAATACAATAACATGAAACTCAACAAAGATGTAAAATTTAAAAGAATGCACATTGCAGTAAATCAGTAGTTCAAGAGCATACCAAGCATCACAAGCAAAGCCATACAATGTATCAGTTGGCACAGCAATAACTTTTCCTGATTTTATTGATTGAATTGCTTGCACTGCAAACTCTTTAGTTGCAGGAAGAACAACCCCTGTCCCATCCTTTAAAGCACCATCACAACTATCAAAACTAGCAACCGTTTTCGCCCGAACCCCAGAAAAGGTCCGAAGACTAGGCTGCTTCAAATGCACACACCCTGGTCTGGACACTCCTGGAATCCAAGAGACCTGATTCAGGTTCAATTATACCTTTTTAAACTGTATAATAATACAAAAAACACTTGTACGAGTTTTATGTTGTGTGATAAAATCCGTCCCTAAAATATTGCCCCATTACTATATATTCGTAATGCAATGGAGCAATCTTTTAGGGACGGGGCGAGTAATAAACTAAATGAATGTGTACCTCTAGAAGAGAACACGGGGCTGCCTAGAACTTCAAGAAAGGGCAATTTCTCTGTGATTCTTGTTGACAAATTCATATCTATGTTTCTTTATGCTGTTTTGGGTATTCAATTTCAACCAGCTACATCAAAATTATACGAAAATTTAACACAATTTCAGTTTGTAAATACTCAAAGATTGGAATAAATTGAAGATATTCAAGTTGAACTACACATAACCAAATTCGCGCTACAATATATCAAACTCCAAATTCCCCATCATCAGATTTCATAAACCCACAATCCAACTGTTATAGAGAGGTGAATTCCTCACTAATTAGCCCCCTTTCCATTAAATCTTCAGAAATTAAGCTATACCCAATTTCAACTAATCTAGGAATTTCTTATAGTATATAATATACTTTATGTATAGTTAAGCAAAATAATTGAATTCAGAAACAGGGTTACAGTGTATTACCTTAAACAGATAGGTCGCAAGGGACTGGGTTGGCCGCTGGCAAAGGAGGGGGTGGCGGGCAGTGATGGGAAACAGGGAAAGGGAGGGTTTTTTTTTTTTTTCCCCCTTTAAATTATCAAAATTTTAAAAATAAAAATAAATATTTTTTTATAATTATAAGAATTTTTATTAGGTTGCAACTAGGTATAAGTGTATAACAAGCTTGGGTTTATTTTAGGCAGATTTAAGGGTTAGATAAGAAGAGGGTTAAGCTTTGAGCCTTAATTAATTTGATATGGTATCAGTCGTTCATCAAAAAAAAAAACCACTATGGCTAGTGATGATATGTTGCCGCCTCCTCCACCACGCATAGATATCACCTTCTTTGTATAACCTTGGTCCTAACGACCGTCCTGGAGAATTCATTACTCTGACCCGCCTTCGTGGTGAAAAGTACAATGAGTGGGCCGATGAGATTCAAACCGCGTTCGAGGCACGTCGCAAATTCGTTTTTTTTTTTTTACGGAACAATAAATTCTCCTTCTTCTCCGTGCACTTAGACGGATTGGACCACTATACATGCTATGTTGATTTCATGGCTAAGGAATACATACAATTGATCCCGAGGTCAATAGCACTTTGTCGAAATACAAGGATGCAACACGCTTGTGGGAGACTCTCAAGATGTGTTTTGCAATCGTCAATGGCCCACGAATTCAATACGTAAAATCAACAATTCTAAAATGCGAGCTGTCGAAGCCGGGATATGTATGTGGCTTCTTATTTTGGTAAACTCATGGCTTTATGGGAGGAATTGAACAGCCATGAACCTCTAATTGCTTGATATTGTTGCGACAAGTGTACAGCTGGTATGGAGCATGAAAGGCGTCGCGAAAATACACGTCTTCATGAAATTTTAATGTGGTTGTTCAACTATGCTCAAAATCGCACCAATATTCGCTTTCAAGACCCCTTGACAAGCCTTGATCGAGATTATCAATTAGTTGTGCAGGATGAACGTGTCGGCAGGCCAAACAAATACCAACTGAACAACCACCAGATGCGATGGGTTCACCCTTCGTACTGCGCCAGGTAAAGGGAAACAAGCAGGCTTCGAAGACAAACCTGATAAATCGGGGTTGCACTGTACCTATTGCAAGAAGACCGACCACTTAGTCTCAGGTTGCTTCGAATTGAAAGGCTTTCCAAAATGGTGGCCTAATCCTTCAAAGCGTGGAAAAGCACCACAGTCCGTGGCAAAAGGGCGGAACCTAGGTAGAGCTAATGCTACAACTACTAGGTCTTCTGCCAATACCAACACCATGGAGTCAGTATGAGGTGCCTCTCAAACGTTTACAGCTAGCAAAGCAATGGAAAGCCATTGCCGGTTTTTTTGGTGACTCAAAAATTCCCGATAACTGCTTGAATGGTGAGTTTGACAATGCCTTGTGGATTGTAGACACAGGTGCTTCTAGACATGTAACTTGTGATGACAAATAATGGCTATTTGATAATCAACACATTTCGTATAGTCCGATTGGTCTTCCAAATGGAAAAATTGTACAAGGCACTAAGGAAGGTTCGGTTCAGCTAAACTCAAAAAATTATTCTTAAACATGTGTTATTTGTTTCGTATATGATGTAATTTATTTTCGGTATCACAATTGATTGATGATACCAATTATGGCACAAGCTTATGGGTCATCCTTCGAACAAAGTAGTGAAACTTCTCCCTCCGTTCATAATTGTAAGGTTAGTTTAAACAAAGCATGTGAAGTTTGTTTTTGTGCTAAACACCCTAAAACTAGTTTTTCTTTAAGTGAGAATAAAGCCTCTAATTTTTTTGAAAAGATATACTGTGACTTATGGGGACCATATAAACATGAATCGTCTTGTGGTAGTTGTTATTTTTTTGACAATAGTGAATGATTTTTCTCGTGCTGTTTGGATTTATTTGTTTTTTGAATTTTTGATAAAATAGAGATATTTCGTTTGTTTATGTCATTTGTGGCAATGGTGGATAGACAATTTTTTCGAACAATTAAAGTTGTTTAAAGTGATAACAACACTGAATTTAATTGTTTATGTGATTTTTTTTAATGCCACTGACATATTATTTCAGACCTCATATGGAGGACTCCGCAACAAAATAGTCGGGTTAAGCGAAAACATAAACTCGTTTTGAATTTACTTTTTTTTAAAAAAAAAACATAAACTCGTTTTGAATTTACGAAGGGCTTTGAAATTTCAAGAAAAAATAAATCGCCTAACTTTTCTATTTTCCCACGCAAACCCATATCACTTTTCTTTTCTCTGCTACTTTGCATAACAGTACTACTCAAAGAGACCCAAATTTCCTAAACACAAACCCTCTAAGTTCCGATGACATTTTTCTACTCTCTAGTGAGAAGGATCAAAGAATCTTGTTGTCATCTTTTCCAGTATTTCGTAGAAGCAACATAGTATAATCCTTCAGATTTAAGGTATGTTTCTCAATAAAAAAAAAAAAAAAAAAAAATCGTTGAATTTAGCTTCAATTCATGATGAATTAAAGTATTTGTGTTTAATCATTATCAATTTTGTTGTTCTTTATAATTTGTTGGGGATTTGGGTTGACTTATACTTGTAATTAAACAAGGGTTTAGCGTTATATACTCGTAATTTTCTTGCTTATTGATGAGTAGAATTCTGTAATTTATTCTTTATTGTTAATTTGTATCGTCATATGTTAAATTTTGTCTAAATTCAAACTATAGGACAAATCTTAATGTTTAAATTCGATTTATAAGGCAAATCTTGATGTTTTATGTAGTACAAAAACCTATCTATTCCCAAATCAATTGCTGTAAAACATATTAATATTTTTGTTGTACAAGTTATATTTATTTATAGACTATTAATATTTAACATTTTCCCAAAATCTAACTAGTTTTATTTTGTTCAGATTAGATTGTAGTGACAAAGATAATGAATCTCCATTGTCTAAGAATAATAATTGCATCAAAATATGAAATCTCCCTAGTTGACATTTGCGTGCATATGTCGCCAAACATGGGGAGATGGAGATTTTACAACTGTTTTTCAATTAATGCTAAATTAGAGGGAGATGAAAAAATAGAGTTGAAAGAATTTTCAAAATATCTTTAGGCAGATTTCAGATATTCAATTATTATTTCATTGTTATCTCTCCGACACAAAAGTGGAGAGTGCTTCCCTTATTGAGGTTATGAATCTTATAGTTAAGGTATATTGTTTTTTCACATCATAGAACTGATAATTATATATGTAATATGTTGTCTTGCTTTATTTTGTGAAATGTGTTAAGAGGTATATAAGAGCCATTTTTGAGGTTATCTTGGACAAAGGTTGGACTGACTTGATAGAGAAGGAATTAATCGTTTGTAAAAAGGTTGGGAGAAGGGTCCAAACACCTCTCCAACAGTGCATAAACAACCACCTTCCAAAGTTCAAACTGAGAACTCAAGCCCCTTACCTGCTCACATGTAGAATTAGAGCTTATCATTACACCTGATGTCTAATGGGATGAGAAGATTAGTGAAAATGAGGAGCCATTTTGGATTCCGGCGAAAGATATTGAAGGAGGTGAGTGCGCAATGGAAGTGAAAATGTGTTTAATTGAGAAATATAAATTGAATTGTTAATTGGCAAGATAATTAATATAAATGAACACACGATTTTATGTAACGACGAGCATTTTTATTTCACTATTTAAAAATAGGGGAGTACATGTATTCCTTTAAGGGTTTGGATTATGAATTTGGATTACAATATGACTCTCTTCCTATTACTCACAAAAGAGTATTACAAAAGTATAGTGGATTTGTAGGAATATAAATTTGGCAGAGAATTACAATGAGGGTATATGTATTTATGTGTGGCTCTCTGTGTATTTGGCTGCCAAACTTCCTTATATATATAGTGGTGCATGAGTATTGAGTAATAGATAAAGTCGGCAAGAACCTGTTGACCGACATTACTTGAGTAATGTGTATTATTCTAGAAGATTATGCTTTGTCTAGAATAATCAAGATCAAGACTTCAAACCAAAAGCTATAATATGCATGCACCGACACTGTAAAGCTAGGGTTAGGCCATAAAATTTGGGCCATAATTACCCGACCCTACAATCTCCACCTTGGACCAAATTTTGTATGCGCTTGTCATATGATCGACATTAAATGAATATGTCACATGCTAAACCCGATTGAAACTTAGGTTTAGAATAACAAAGTGACTTACTTGGACCCGCATTATAAGGGTGTTGTTGCCGAGTCAGAATTAAGTATGATGAAGCCACAATAGAAATCCTTGTACTACATAGAGATTTCTATGTTTGATGGCCTTTAATTTTTCTTGAGCATCTTTGGAGATTTTGAGTACTCCACCTTGAGCCGAAATCTTATATCCTTTTGAGTCCAGAATGCCAAGAGTGATGATATTCTTTTTTAGATCAGGAACATGATGAACATTAGACAAAGTCCTATCACACCATCTTGTGTCTTAATCTGTACGAAGCCAACAACACAAACTTTATTTGCAATGATAATTGTTACCCATTGTAACAGTTTTATTCTTCATCGGCTAATAGTCGGTAAAGTGAGACTTTTGAGAACAAATATGGTTTGGCAGAACCGGAATCAAGTACCTAGTCAGAATTTTTATTTCTTCTTGATGAAGAAGCTAAGAGAACTTCATCATTAGACTCTCTTTTCCTCTTACTTTTTCTTTTTGAGCTTTTTATTTGCAAACTACCGTGTGATTTCTCTTTTATATTTAAACCTTCGGCATTTTAATTAAATCAGTTCTGGGTGGTTAAGTTTCAGTCCCCTCCCAATTGTTGTTGCGGGGTATCGAATACGGGTCATGCCTATCAAGTGTAGTCTCAATCACCACAACACCAACAACCAATTGGTAGAATCAACTGACTATGGTTTTATGAATTATGATTATGCAACTATATTGTCTCGTATCATAGTTTGATTAGAGTTAGTTGACATAAGATGTATATATGGAAATTCTTGTAGTTTGTGGCCTATATATTTTGGCCAAAAATAAGTAACGATACTATTCCAGCATTTATCTCATCAATAATCCTTTCATCCCAAAATAACCTTTCATCAAGCACTTTTCCGCCTTAAAATATAATCAATGTTTTTCTATTCTTGTATCCACTCAGCTTCATTCCATACCCAAAGACCCAAGCAATTACTTACTCTGGTACAATATAATTATAAATAAATAAATTTGCATGCATTATAATTGTAATGATAGCTTGATTTTTTTTTTTTTTTTTTTTTTTTTTTTTGTGAAGATGATAGCTTGAATTCTAATTAGTTAAAAAAAATGTGATTTGGAATATGGGTAAGGAATATGCCTTGCATTGATAGCCTTGAAAAAGAGCTAGGACTCATAAAAAAATAAAACAAATAAAAACAGAATTCATAAAAAAAATAAAACAAATAAAAACAGAATTAGGAAGCTTGTGTCGTAAAGCTAAGAAGATGTAGCCAGATTTGTGAGTTAACACTAATATAGTTTGAAATCCACTAATGCATAGTTATTTAGGTAAAAATACTCATATGATGCTCTAGATAAGATTATGAAATCTCGTCGCACAAACCAACCAAAAATTAAACACAATATAGAATAGGAAAACTTGTCAATTACTACCGCAAATTAATATCACTTTGTAAATTACTACCGCAAATTAAAAAAGTTGTTTACTACCGCAAAATTTTTTAAAATGTTGCGATTACTACCAAACCCCCATTAAACCCAACTATGACATCATTATATCACTTTAACCCATGGTTAAAGCTCTTAACCATGGTCAAATATGGGTTAAAGCCCTTAACCATGACGTCATTATATCCCTAACTCATTTTTTTTTTTTTTTTGGGGGGGGGGGCTGGTTAAAGCCCTTAACCATGGTCAAACATGGGTTAAAGGGATATAATGATGTCATAGTTGGGTTTAATAGGGGTTTGGTAGTAATCGCAACATCTTTTTTGGGTAGTAGTTCACAACTTTTTTAATTTGGGGTAGTAATTTACAAAGTGATATTAACTTGCGGTAGTAATTGACAAATTATCCTATAGAATAACCACCCTCTTAAAGACGAGATCTATTTAATAAAAGTAATTAAAAAGTTAATGGGCCCTACCAGTAAAAACACCAGTGTAAGGCCCTGTTCTTTTCACCTTAAAAAAATAATATTAAGTAAAAATAATTTCAGTTCAGTAAAAATAAGTTTAGTTCAGTAAAATTAATTTCAATTCAGTAAAAATAATTTCAGTTCGGTAAAAATAAGTTCATTTCAGAAAAAATCAATTTTCTTAAAGAAGAATTATAATAGAAAATCAGTAAAAATAATTCAGTTCAACAAAAATAATTTCAGTTTAGTAAAATTAAGTTCAGTTCAGTAAAAAATAAGTTCAGTTCAGTAAAAATAATTTCAGTTCAGCAAAATTAAGGTGAATCAAACAGGCCCTAAGCCCTCTAAAGATTCACAACTGAGGCCAAGAAGAAAATAGATTAAGATATATTTTTTTGTATTATTATTATTATTTTTTTTTTTTTGAAAGGGAGCAAAAGATTTCATTAAATAGCAAGTGTGTCCATAAGAACATAAGGGGATACATCAGGAGGAACATAGCGTTCCCATATTTGCTCCAAATTAAAGGGAAGAAATTTTGCAAGAGAGTGAGCTACTTCATTGCCAGCACGCTTCACATGACTCCACTGTAGGCTAGTATATTGAACAATTAGAGCCATAATATCGCATAACACCGAGTCCAAATCAGTGAGATGAGTTGCACTCCTGGAGAGTCTAGACACAACAATCTGGCAGTCGGACACCATAATAATCTCCTTGCAACCAATTTTACAGCCAAGTCTAATCGCCCATTCAATTGCTTTTGCTTCAGCTATCTCAACTGACCACCACGCACGGAGTCTTTTTGTGGCAGAAAACACGATCTCACCAAGGCTATTTCGTGCAACAACACCGAGCCCAACCCAGCCCTCTTCAGAAAGCGAAGCATCAGAGTTTATTTTGATGATGCCAGGAGGTGGAGGAACCCACTGATTCGGGCTTATGCAGGCGGCAGTAGCAGCGGCGCGGGACGAACTCATCTCAGGCTTTGTGCTTTCATCAGTCCATCTTAACACTCTAGCAATCACCATATCAGTTGGAGTGTTTTCCCTGGAAAACCTTCAAATTCCTATCCTGCCAAATGCCCCACAACAAGTAGATGCCTTTGACTTTTGTCATCTCATCCAAATTCTTCCAGCTTTCCACAAGATCACAAATGGAGAAAGAGTTTACATCCTTTCTCATAGCTTCACAGTCCAACTTCCACCATAAATCACGTACTCTCCAATAGTCAAAAAAAGTGTGTTGCCAAGTTTCGGACTCACCTTCGCACCATGGACAACAGTCATCATCAGTGAGATGTCTCACATGTCTGTGTTTTAAGAGGAGGGTTTCAGTACATAGGCGCCATAAAAAATTACGGGCCTTTGGGATTACGTTTGCCTTCCAGATTCCCACCCAAGCACAATGGAAATCATCTAAGTTGCAGCCTTTCCCCAACATATAGGCAGTCTTCACTGAGTAGAATCCATTCTTTGAGAACGCCCACGTAATCTCATCACTTGGCCATCGACCACTCAGAGGGATGGCAAGAATCAACTTCTTGTCTCGCTCATTGAAAATTGCTTGAATAGTGCTGTAATCCCACTCCATATGCTCAAAATTGATTAATTCGTTAACTCTAGTGATTTCTGAAGTCGGAGTGGAGGTTGTAAACCTGCCAACCTCATCATAGAGCCACGGATCTGACCATACGTTAACTCTGCTCCCATTCCCTATTCGCCACAAAATACCTTCTTGCACAAGAGCCTTAGACCCCCATATACCACGCCACGAGAAGCTTCCTCCAATACCCAGAAAAGAGCCAAAAAAAATCAGAATTTTGGTAATATTTTGCCTTCATTACACGGCCTAGCAGAGAGTTCGGATTTCTCACCAATCTCCAAACTTGTCTTCCAAGAAGAGCATCATTGAAAACCGCTAAGTCTCGAAAACCCATACCCCCAAGACATTTGAGGGTACATAGCGAGTCCCAATTTCTCTAATGAATCCGTTTCCTCCCTTCACATTGGCCCCACCAAAAATTTGCCATAGCCGCATGATTTTTCCTAATCACCTCACTAGGAAATTTGTATACTCCCATGAGATAGGTCGGAATTGCTTGTACTACCGATTTAAGCAAAATTTCCTTCCCGACTTGAGAAAGAAGCTTCTCTTTCCAACCTTGCAATTTCTTCCAGATTCTATCAAGGAGAGCCTCAAAAATACCCCTTTTTGACCTTCCCAACGCATTCGGAATACCAAGGTACTTCTCATGACGCTCTACTTTCTTCATATGTAGAATATCCAAGATCCCCTCCTTTTGCTTAGTCCCAATCCCTCTACTAAAGGACACTTCCGATTTCTCATAATTGATTTTTTGCCCGGATGCTGCTTCGTACTGGTTGAGAATATCAACAATGTTTGAGCATTCCTTTCGATTTGCCCTTGTAAAGAGAAGACTGTCATCTGCAAATAGGAGATGTGAGATTTCTAGACCTTTCCTACTCGCTTTTGCACCATGAATGTCACCCCTCTTCACCCTACTCTGGATCACATGTGAAAAGGCATCAGCCACAATAATAAATAGATAGGGAGAAAGGGGATCACCTTGACGTAATCCTCTGGATGGAGTAACCGCACCACACACTTCCCCATTTATTACAAAGGAGTACTTCACCGAAGTAACCAAAGTCATCACCATATTGACCCATCTTCCATCGAAACCCATTTTCAGAAGTAATTGTCTCAGGAAACCCCACTCTACCCGATCGTACGCTTTACTCATGTCTAACTTCATGGCAATGTGTCCCTTACGACCCTTTCTTCTCTTTTTCATAGTGTGAAATAATTCAAAAGCTATCAAAGCATTATCAGTTATAAGTCTGCCGGGAACAAAGGCACTCTGATTTTCAGAAATAATTTCACACAACACGTCTTTCAAACGGATCACAAGACATTTAGAGACAAGTTTATAAATGACATTGCATAAGCTAATGGGGCGAAATTCAACAGCTTTTTTTGGGCTCTTTAACTTTCGGAATAAGGGCAATATTTGTTTTGTTGACAGAATCCGGGAAAGAATTGCCGTTCAAAATTCCAATAACAAAATTTGCAACTTCTTCACCAACAATATGCCAGAAACGTTGATAAAAATGGCATGCATACCGTCAGGTTCAGGGGCCTTACTAGGATGCATTTGCTTTAGAGCCGCATACACCTCCTCCTTCGTATAAGGTTTCATGAGCATTGCATTCATAGCATGAGAAATAGCCTCCGGCACATTTGAAAGAACCTGCTCAAGATCATGGTTAGTGGGATTTGACGAGGTGAAAATATTTTCAAAATAATTGCTGATGATCGCTGCCACATCCTCTTCCTCGGTTCTCCAGACACCACTCTCGTCCACAAGGCCGCTGATGGTATTTTTCCGTTTGCGTTGTGAAGCCTTGTGGTGAAAATACTTAGTATTTCTGTCACATTCTTTAACATCGGCTACTCGGGATCTCAAGTGCCAGTAAGCTTCCTGTTTTTCTTGTAAATCCTCAAGGCGTTGCTCGATCTCATTACATTCTTTGCAACTCTCTTCACTGGTCGGCATCATTTGGGCATTTTTCAAGGCAATTTCTGTCGCTGCAATCTGCTTGTCAAGGATATTGAAGTGTTCATCGCTCCACCTAGATAAGCTTCTGCCTACAACAGCAACTTTTCCAAGCACATTCAGGTTCCCTGCCCCTTCCCAAGCACCTTTGATTACATCCTCACAACCATCCTCGGTGAGCCAATACGTCTCAAACTTAAAAGCTTTTTTCTTTTTCTTCTTCTTTTTCCCAGGAGCATCATCATATCTGAGTAAAATGGGAGCATGATCAGATTTGATGCGCACAATGTGTTCAACAGAAGCATTTGTGTATAAAGAGCACCACGACATCGACCCAAGGAACCTATCTTTCACGAATCCGGGTGGAAGGATTTCTCCCACGTTCCCATGTATACCAAGTTCCACTGTACCCCAAGTCCCTTAGGTTACAATCAAGGAGGGCTTCACGAAAATTCTCTATCTCTTTTCTTTCCCCGAGGGCTCCACCTTCTCTCTCATCGTACGAAAGAAGCTCATTAAAATCACTTCCCAATAAAATCGGGACATCATCATCACAGAGTTGCCTAATGAGCTGCCAAGTGTGAACTTTCTCTTCGGCCTTAGACCACCCATAAACACCTGCGAACCTCCACTTCAAGCTCCCTTCACTCCACACATCCCCACAAATGTGGTGATGGGAATAGGACACAAGACGAAAGTCAATGCTCTCCTTCCATTAAATGCATAATCCCCCTGACTTACCCATGCTAGAAACACCGAAAGCTCCATAATAGCCCAAGCTCCCTTTGAGGTCCTCTACTACCTTATTTTCAACCATAGTCTCAGAAATAAATAGTAACCTCGGGCAATACTTGTGACTCCACTTCCGAAGTCGCCGAACTGATCGGGGGTTGCCCATTCCCCGACAGTTCCAAGCTAGAATACTCATTGGGTACGGTGGGGTTGGTCAACACCAACCTCCGCCAAGGGCCCCACGCCACCGGGTAATGTCGTATAGATGATCTTCCCAATGTGTAACTCTTGCTCTGCCATGTCTTCCCCCTCCCTTGAACGTTTCCCTGTCTCTGCAGCAATGGTCTTCTAAATATTCCCTCCCCCACCCTCCCTTGCTACTCGTTTCCATTGTCCCATGCCCCATTTTGTACCAACTTCTTTTGGTACTCTCACTAGCTGAGCCTCAATAACCCCGTCCTCACACTTCCTGCTTGTGTCAACAGAGGTATTTAAAGGCTCTATTCTTTTTCCCGACTTTTCACCACTCTTACCCCCTTCCTCCAAGGTATTACTATCATGAACAGCACTCGAAAACTCTGCAGATTTTTCACCATGACTGACAGTCACTTGCTCACTAGCTATCTTCGAAATTCCTCTATTTGCACCTACTCCCATCTCTCCTACTCCACCAGTATTATGAGAATTTTTGGTGATAAAGAGCCTTCGAACAGCACTGCTCAGCTCTCCCTCATCATCTTTCACTTCGTTTTTTGCAGCTTTCCACGGGGTAGACACACGTAGCCGTTCATTGAATTTTCTCGTGATCACATTATCATCACAATCCTTCTCCCCATGGCCTAACAAACCACAGATATAGCAGAACACAGAACACACAGGTAGTTTCTCATATTTAATAGGCACCTCCATTATTCCCCTACCCGTTCGAAGTTCCACCGTCTTCATCAAAGGTTTATTAACATCAATATTAACACGAATTCTTAAAGATTTATTGATCCCTATTACATCTGATTTGTCCATGGCAACAAAGCTTCCAATTTTATTCCCTAATCTCCTAGCATTGTCCTCATTATTTCTACCCTTAAAAGGTAAATCGTACACCCGAATCCAAAAAGGTACACAATGTAACGGAATTTCAGAGGGCTTAGAGTTACCTTTTGCGTCCGCCAAGACCATGACATGGTGATCAAAATGCCAAGGTTGAGAGTCCATAACAAACTGCTTGTCTTTCCAATGATGAAATTGGAAATAGAAAACTTTGTCCCCGATGATATTCGCCTCACAGCCGTGTTTTGGACTCCAGACTTTTTTCATAGTATTGATTAGGGCATTTGCTTTCACATTACGAGGAGTATGAATCCTTCCCACAATAGCCAATTCAATTTGATCCTCCTCATCTCCCCCTCCTTCGTCCTCCCAATCGATATCACTTCCATTGGCCAAACTAAGGAGTACTTCATTATCTTTTCCAGAACTCGCCATAATAACGAGAACGGAATACAATTCAAGAAGCAAATTCGACACAAGACTTCGAGGATGAAGCAAAAGCTAGCATAATAATAATAATAATAATAATAATAATAATAATAATAATAATAATAATAATAATAATAATAATAATAATAATATTATTATTATTATTATTATTATTATTATTATTATTATTATTATTATTATTATTATTATTATTATTATTATTTTACAATAGGATGAAAGATAATTAAGAAAAGGGATAAGACTCATAAGAGCAAAGGAAAATGGGGTGAGACTCATAAGAGGGAAGGAAAAATGTTTTTTTTTTTTTTTTAAATTAAGCACACTCTAATTAATGACATTTGAATATTAAACACACTCCAATTAATAAGTTAATGAAGAGAGGACATTTGAATGTTGTGTTCTCTACCTAGCCTCACTGAATTGACATAATCCCTTGGGCTATGAGCAGAAATACCTGGTAGAACTAATCCTACAACCCTCACCAAAACCGAATACCAGTCCTCTTTATAATCTGTTCCATACACATAACACATTGTCAAGGCCCTGATCAACTCCCACGCCGTGTTCAAGTGTGCCGGAATCAGGTACCTTATCCCGTAATAGTTTTTGTTCGGCTCCTCTTTCACTTGCTTCAAAATACCAAAATAAAGCATCAGATATAATTATTTCATAAAAAGCTCGATATTATAAACAGTAGGGTGTGTTCTATGTACCTGCTTAGCGTAAAAGCTGTTATAGTATAGGCAAACACCAAAATGCTTATACAAGAATGTTTTATCATCATAAGGCAGCCTAGGAACAACATCATTGCAGTAAACAACTCGAAAGTACCTAATCTTAGGTTTATTAAGTCGTTCTTCCACGAACATCCCTAGCTTACCATCTCCGATTCTTGGCTGTCCAAAAGTGTACACACCCAACAACCTCTCCATCATTTCAATCTCCTCATGTAAGATCAACACCGTGACAAACAAGATTGCAAGAGCCCCGCCTAGGCTATGTCCTGTGACAACAAATGTCGCGTTCTTATGCTGTTGTAATAATTCCTTGAGCTTGGTTTTGACAGCAATGTAGGCTGTTAACTCTGCCATATCCGGGGTGAAAGCAACATTGATGTTCTTCTGTAGGAGGTTATGTCGGAATGTAGGGGTATCAGCTCGGTTGCCTAAACCTAAGGCTTCTAAGAAACCCATGTGAAGCTTTCCTAGCTCTGGGATCTCGTACCATGAGTAGTCGAAATCTGTGCTCCAATCATCAGCGTCGTAAGGTTCAGTGCCTCTGAAGCTTATTAGTATGAAATTAGCATCTTCTGGTTTGTCACATAGGATGAACACTTGGGTGGACTTCTCCTGCTGATAATCTGTCAAAAGAAAGATAGGAATCATAGGATGATAGACCAATTATAATTTCTTGCAAGAAATGGATACGTGGATTATAAATTTCACATTTTGACTTTTTAATTAAATTGTTGTCTGATGAATGCTCTAACCACTTGAGTTATTCCTCACTCTTAGTATCATAAAACGAAACTAGTTCATTGTGAATTAAATCTTATACGAAGTATATATAATGAATTTATTGGCTTAATTGCAATTAAAAATGTGACATTTAAACTTATTGGGCCGGTTTTAATTAAAATGGTACTGTGTAAAGTTCCTATCTCAAAACTAAATTTTGTAAAATTAAATAGCAAATTAAAGGAATATATAGTAACCCGAAGCTCATAAATGATGCATTATTATAATCCTAAACATCAAAGAATGAAGGGAAGATGGGTTTATTTACCATTCCAACCATCATAAAACTCCACAAAATGCATCTGCTTCAATATTTAAAACGAAAATTAGTAAGGAACTTACTTTACTATTAATAAGGAACAAAGAATAAAGAGATGTACATTAGCTAGATTTGATGTGACACATGCGTTCATAAAATATCTTCAACAATATACTTCAAATATGAGGTTGAAGTGATGGATTAGTGGCATCGCTCCCACCTCGTATCCCTGATATTTAGGAATCAAGTTTCATGAGACTCATTTGAGGGATTTCCCTTATCTCCCCCCCCCCCTCAAATGAGCCCCTTTCTACTTCAAATACAAAGGCAGGACTAGGAATATATGCCATAGGACAATGAATGTCGACTATCTTAGTTGATAATACGTCTATGAGATTACGGTATTAAAGCCAATGCAAGAATATTAGTTAGAGGAAAAGAAGAGGCACCTGCCTTCCAATGGTTAACCACAACCTCTTTGACCACACTAGCATTTTCATAAGCTAACTTTGACGCCATAACACAAAGGTCCATTAGTGATTTGTTCTCTATCTCTATTTTCGAATTACTTGATGATGATCCTTCTCCAAAATAATCTGTCTTGTTCAAGTCGATTCGCCCATCCAAATGTCCAATTGAGCTTATGAATGTCGTTGTACCTCTTTCTGGAATCACCACCTTACCTGCATTTGCTTTATATTAGCTACACACAATGCATGCATTTATATGCAACACAATCATAAGTTACGCAAATTAAACTAATAACCAACAACTGATTATCAAATAAAGTCGATCAAACCGGGAAACATAATATATATACGTACCTTGGAGAAAGTTTGAGGCAAGCCGAAAGAGATTGCCATTAAGAGAAAGGAGATTAAGGGAGAAATCCACAAAATTACCAAATAATTCCAAGGGTTTACCAAATAATTTATTCAACCTTCTTACTAAAATTGATACAATTATCACCCATCTATTATCCTTCCCATCAAAGAATAACCTCCACTCTTCTAAATCTAATTCTTCATAATCATCTTCTTCAACATTATCAGAGCAACCATTACTCAATATAAATTTGGACCCACTTTTTATGTCTCCCTTTCTCCAAAACTTCCACAAATCCCTAATTCCAGCCTTTTCTGGCCGTACGATCATATACCTCCATTCATCCCCGCCGTTCATCAATTCTTCTGGATGATCTGATCTTCTTCTTCTTATTTTTTTTTATTTTTTTTTTTTTTGGGAAAAGAAAGATATAATTGATTATATTTAGTAGTTTATAATTAGTAGTGTATTATGCATGCATATATATATGTACTACTCCCTCCGATTTTTTTTATATACATCACTTTCCTTTTATAGGTGTTTTTTTTAAAATGCAGCACTTCCTTATTTGAAAATTTTATATTATATTTTATCATTTCTCTCTTTTACTTTAAACCCCACTTAAATTATTTTATCATTTCTCTCTCCTCTATGATCCCCACTTATATAATAAAAATATCTACTCTCTCACATTCTTTCTCTTTCATAGTCCCCATCTTACTTATACTATTTCATCCACTCACAATATTATATTATCCTTCTAAAACTCCGCGCATCACCAAATGATGCATATAAAAAAAAAACGGAGGGAGTAGTATATTACAAGAGGAGGGTTGCCGTAACGTGCACGCATTGGATTGACAAGGAAGTGAGGTGAAAATAATAAAAAGGGTTCCATGAGCGTTGTACATTTGTAATGTGAACATCTAAACCTGTAATTCTTCTTCTGTTCTTATCTGTTACTTGTAATTACTAAGAAATTTCTCGCTCCTTCCTTCTCCAAACATAATAAAAAACATAATAAAAACAAATTTAGGTGAATTATGTCTTTTAACTAGATATGGTATTACTGTATTGTTTTTGAAACTAACCATTATTAATTTATTACTTCCTCCCTTCTTTATTACTAAACTCGCTTTGACTTTTACACTATTCATCATCCCTCCTTTGATCGTCTTTTGTGAATAATATGTAAGGAAAAATATATTCATGTATGATCTTTTTGGATTTGTCTCAATAAGTACTATCATAATACTCCCTCCGTCTCAAATTACTTACAACGGTTTGACTTTTTGCACTATTCACACATCTCCCTTTGACCATCTTTTTTAACTATTATATGAAAGTCAATGTAATCATGTAAGATGTTGTTGGGTCTATTTTAATGTATAGTTTCTTAATATAAACTTTTTATAACTTATATAAATTTATAATAAAAGATATCAACGGTCAAACATGTGCATCGGCAAGCGTGTCCAGTCAAAATGTTGCAAGTAAATTGGGACGGAGGGAGTATATAACTTTTATAATTTTTACTTATGGAGAATTTAAGTTATTGATTATTAAAGTTTTGCATTGACAAGCGTGATAAAAGAAACAGGTCAAGTAAAAAAGAACAGAGAAAGTATATATTACCTCCGTTAAATGTTATGTGCAACTTTAGGGTATCATTTATGAAATATAAAATATTCCAAAGTTACACATGACATTTAACAAATGTATTAGATATATAGGTGTTGTTTGACTGTTTAGCTTGTAATAATGATTTTTCCATTTATGTGAATCATAATCTATAAATGAAATTGCTTTGGTGTTTGGAGATGACATATACTCGCAGTAATAATTTGTAAATTGTAACGCATCAATAACATTTCTTTTCTTTAATTTTGTGGTGTTTGAGTAGTGTACTAGTGTTAATTAGTTGTTCGCTTAATAGTTACACTTTCATGTCATTACGTATTTACGTGTTTCCTTTGTGCTAATAACGTTCTGCGAAGTTGCTGATTGCTATATAAGGTAAGTTACTAAGTTGGACATGTGGACTTGCACATTGGATACACCCTTATTTGTAACTTCAAAGCATTGCATGCCATCATGCATAAAATTTCATGTAAATTGAAATTAAGTTGAACAGAACAGGCCCATAGTTTCAAACATATTTTTTATAAAAATATATACATTGGCATGATAGTTGATGATACTAATAATAGTTTACATACATTGGCATGTTATGTTCAGCTTAATTTCAATTCAGCTCCTTAATATTTGAATTATATATTAACAAATACGTCTAAAAAAATTGTGTTAATTTAAATGAAATGGATGAATTTTTAATATTTTGTTGTAGAGGAACTCTTACATAATTGTCACCTTATTGATTCATGACATAAATACATACGAATTACGAAGTATGCTACAAAAACAAAACCATATTAAATGAGTTTTTGTTAGCCTAAGTACGGGCTTTACTAAATGGGCTTTTACTATAGTACTCGCATAGACATAATGAGCAGATGTGGACATATGGGCCTATAACTTAGCTTTCTCACATGTTTGTTTGGTTATTTATTTGTGTTAGTACAATCTTTCTTTTTGTTGAAGTGGTTTGCTAATTGCTACTGTACAATTTTTGCATTATCCCTAATTCCCTATTCTCTACTAGAAATGAAAAAATGGTCAAAGGTCCAAGATTAGAATGTATGGTATGATTTAAAAAGGAAAGTTTTCAATTACTGACCCCTTAGCTTATACAACCTTGAAAATTTCAAATCATAAAACTGTGTAGTTGACATAATTTCTCATTGTTTTAATTTTTTATTAGTCAAAATATACGATACTGTACATTTCCTACAATTATATATGCACGAGTTCTTAATCAAGAGCATATGTTTAAAAATTTTAAGCAAATTTTTTTTTTTAACAAAAATCAACTTCTAATCAATAACACAAGTTTAATTTAATATACAATAATATAATACGGAGTAACAATTATATTTGATATGATAGGTAACCCAAGGAACGTCTAAACTCTACATTGACCAAAATAAATTATGATGATGTGAAATAATGTAATTAAGCATGTCATATTGTTTCCCAAATCCTTTTCTTGCCAAACTGCGTGGCCACCACTAAGTAGCCGTACCACTTTGTACTACTGGAGATGCATGGACAAGATAAGACGTGGGCATCGCTTCAATAGTTTTTAGCAATGTTTGTATAGTGTGCACACAATGCAAAGCATTTTGGAAAATCTCGCATAGATCAACCTAACTCGGATTATAAGCCAGTCTATTTGGAATGAAAATCTCGCATAGATCATCCGCCCCTCCTTCAAAGTGGAATTAATTCGCACCAGGTATGGGTGGGCCTGTGTTGCATCTACATTTCAAGGCCAAAGGGCCTTTCATGTGAGGGGAAGTGATAGAGTATAAAACATATTCCTAGGCCTTAACCATCAGCTTAAGCTTTTGGTTGAGTTGGTCCTTTAACATGGTATCGGAGCCAGCGTGACACAAAGGTCACGGGTGCTTTTGGTTGAGTTGGTCCTCTGACATGGTATCACAGCTTAGGTTAGATCTTGGGATCATATACAAAAATTCTCACCCTGCCAACCCACCGGCGGGATATACAAAGTTTTTTATGCTTCCGCAAACACACATATAGATTTTTTTTTTCTTTTCTCAAAGTTTTTTTAGAATCTTTATGTAACGTTGCGCCTCCTACCAACAATAGCAATCGCGAAAGCCTCCTCCATCGTTATTGGCAATCGCATACACTACCGCCTCTCACTACTGGCAGTAACCGGCCACATCTGCCAACCTACTCCATGTGCCGCACTCTATGTCCACCTCCCCATGACCAACAATGATTCTTACATTGCTTCATTGGTTTTTTTTTTTTTTTTTTTTTTACACATAATCACATAGATTTTGTTTTGGTGGTGGTATATCACAATAAGGTCAACTTTTGCACATCTCTTTTGCTATCAAGTTATCTCCTTTTATTGTTGCAGCACTTGGAATCTTTGTGGAGTATTAATTCTTGCTACCTGGTTTTTCTTTTGAGAATTGATTAATTTCAAGCGGTGGGATTTAATCTTTTCTTGCGCAATTTTATTTGTTTTTCTTCAACTGTGATTTCACGTAGTAGTGTAGTGTCTTCTCCCCGATGATGGTTTGATCCCTTAGCTTCTTCTTCTCTGGATCTGCAACTTAGCCCAAATCTGTGTGCGACTCTTCTCCTTCTCCTCCGGCCTAGCAATGCTTATCTCTACTCTATGTAGGTCGTGGCTGTTGCTTCTCATCGTCATCACCGACACATGTCTACTACTTCCCTTTTGATCATGGGTTACCATACTATCCTTACCTCTCGATGCGTGATTCAGATCCAGTCTGAGCATCCGATTTTCTTCCGCTCCGACTGCAGGGGTATGATAGAGAATATCTATATAATATTCTCATCTTAGGTTTAGGATATATTTTGTATAAGATTATCTTTGATATCTGTACATATCTTATGTTACCTAATATGATTAGGTTTCTCATTGTAACCCTATAAATATTGATCAATAGAAATCACTCTAATAAATGAGTTGATATTATCTGACACCGAACCTCCAAATAAAGTGGTGTTGAGCTACAAACTAGTGGAAACCGAGCCTCCAAAAGTTACAATTTCAACTGATAGACCGAGTTTATACTAGTCTATTTATAATGAGATATCGTATAATATTTTTTTTTTTGTGGATATGTAATTTATTAGCAAATACTATGTATTGTATTTTAGCTAACTTCTTAAGATTCTAGGATATATATCTTTTGATTCTAGGGTTAGAGAGTATTATAATATTGGTAGGTTATCCTGATATAATTAAGAAACTATTTACAAATAGTTAGTTACTAATTGCGTTGTGTAATCATGTTTTATGTTTTAATTTGTCCTAATCATTAGCAATGAAAAAGCACTTCCACTATCTAATCAAGGAAGATGAATATTCTGTTCCTTAAGGAACAGGGAAATAGACCATCACTACCGGCATGACCGTTAAAACAATTATGGACATACATTTGACACTAACATGGGATTTTAAATTTTGAGTGGGACCATGCAAAAATCAGTGGCGAACTATATGGCTAATCTTCTAAATAACCAATTGCTAATTGTACATGCCTAGCTTAATAGTAAATTTCCAAATTTATACCACTTTTGTTTCAGAAAAATGTATTTTAGAATGTTTATATGTAATCTTAAGGACGTTAGAAGTAGTTGAGCATTAATTTTATTATTATTTTTTTTTTCAACATACGAGTATAAGTAAATAATAGTGCGTCATTCATTTAACTCACTATTCATCCAATTCAAACAATGGATTCAGCTATACAAGTGAAACTCTTTTATTTTAAAACTGATTTAAATTAATGGGTGAAAGTCATTATAATTTTAATCTAATCTAAACCAATTTAGTAATTCATATTGGATTCTTTTTATTAATGGATTGGACTGAACTCAATACTTCTTAATTATAAGAAAACTGGATCAGTGTTTCAATCAAAAAATTAAAGGGAGCAAATCAAAGTTCAAATTGGATTGGACTTAAACTGCACAAATCAAATTTTAGTTTTGAATTTATTAGATTCAAGCTCAAATTCAAATCGAAATTCAAACTTTCATCCTTACTCATTTTCCAAGTGCTAGTAAGTCTTTTACGACTCTGCGAATTAATAGCTCCTAAGACAAACAGAATAAACAAAAAAAAATGTTAGTTTTAATTTCATATACCTCCCTAGTCCCCCCCCCCCTTTTTTTTGGTGTTTAGTGACTTAGTGAGCCACAACAGCGGGGGAGAGAATCAATCCTAAGATCTCCTGAAATCGGGACGAAAGATCTAACTACTTGAGTTATCCCTCACTCTCCCTTAGTCCCTTTTTATGATTCTAGACTAGATGCAACTCCCAAATTTGTTGCGAATGTGTTTATTAATTCTTAAATAGATGGTGTGGTAAGCTATGCACCAACTATTATTGGCTTTTCTAATACCACAACCAAAAATGAAAGAAAAGGGACACTCACCTACCATATGAAGCATATGTATGTTGTTCCAATCATATTTAAAGAAAACTACGTGAGAGTTGAATATTTATTTCCGCGTAGTCTTAATATTATGATTTACCCATTGAAATGATGGATTTTGCATAATCTTGTCTTGTTAATATATAATTGATTGTGAAATGGATGACCATTTGTAATATTCTTGTAGTCAAATAATGAATTAATTATGTACCTACCAAACTTAAAATACTTATATAAAACCTTATTGTCCGTCAAAAAAAAAAATATAAAACCTTATTGTAAGAACATATACTTATTCTTTAATTGGCTTGGATAATCATAATCATTTTATGTAATTAGCTAGCTGTACCCTAGTAATAACCTCAACTACTGATATGGATGCTTTATAATTATTCTTCAAAAAAATTAAAATTATTATGCTTACACTTTACCGAAGACTTTGTTGATAGAAGAATTTGTTGCGACCACGGTATAAAGGAATATTTGTAATGTAGGTAGGGAGATAATTAATAGGGTAATGCTATACATAGCCCTTAGGGCTATATATAAGCATTGACTCTTGGAAAATGTATAAAGTTAGGAATTCATGACAAAAACACGCGTAAATCAGTGTAATTAGTGTGTTTTTGTCATGATTTTCTAAATTTAAACAATTTTCAAGAGTAAATTAAATGCTTATATGTAGCCCTTAGGACTATGTATAGCATTTTCCTAATTAATAAGGTAGGAAATGATAATGGTGAATTAGAAAGTTAAAATATACATAAAATATAAAAAAGTGAATTACACCTATAATTAATCACTAAATTGAAAATTTCTTCAATCTCATTATTACCATATAAAATTTACAATATGTTTCTATGAGGTTACAAAACACCCTCGCCTATAATTACGATTAAATCGGACAAATATGGTAGACTTTAACCTTGCGTTGGAATCAACGAACTAAAGGTACGATGTACCTTAGAGCAGCGTTAATGGTGAACATTTTAATAGTTCACAATGAGTGAACAAATAAGGTGTTGGCTTAATGGCAAACTCTATAATTGTTCATGATGAGTGGTCATGCGTTCGATTGCAGGAGCGAGCAGCTGGACGAAATAATTCGCTGTGGGGCCCACCAAAATTTTCCACTGATATTCATACAAAACGACGTCGTTTTGCTGTTTCATGTTGCAAAACGACGTCGTTTTGCTTATTAACGGGCAGAAAAAAAAATAGAAAGTAGCGGCTGGGAGCGCGCCACTTGGCACAGCCGCTGCTTGACACGTGTTCATTGTTTTAAATAAATCCGTTGTAATAATACAACGGATATATTTTATAAAATACAAATCAAAAAAAAAAAAAAAAAATTACCAATGGCTCTATTTTTTTCCCCTCTATAAATAGACACCCATATTGATATACTTTCTTCAACTTTGAAAATTCATTTTTTTCTACTATTGTTTTCTCTTCAAAAATCCCCTCTATAATTACCAATATTATTATTATTTATACCAATATTAATATTATTATTGTTATTATTATTTTTAATTATTATCATTAATATTATTATTATCGCTACTATTATTTTTATTATTATCGTTATTATTATTATTATTTTTATTATTATCGTTATTATTATTATTATCGTTATTATTATTATTATTATTATTATCGTTATTATTATTATTATTATCGTTATTATTATTTTTTTTATTATTGTTATTATTATTATTATTATTAAATTTTTATTTTTTCCAAATATAAATTATAATTATGGATGCTAATACCAACCCCAAAACAAATAGAAAGAAGAAAAAAAATTTGGGTCAAAATATGATCCCGAATCAAGCCAATTTTCCTCCAATTCACCCAAATTTTTCACAAACACCCACAAATATTCCCCATAATTTTTCTGGAGTTTATCCTCAAATACCCCAGTCAAGTTTCCCAAATAATCCACCAAATTTCCCTCGTGCATATATAATTTTTCTCAAAGCAGTTCAAATTTCCCACATCCATCCATGATACCAATGGGTTACTGTGAATATGGTGTTGCATCTGGTTATTTTCCGTCACAACAACCGAATCCCAATATTTGGGAATCGAGCAATGTCTTATCTGAAGAAGATGAGGCAAATGAAGAATGCGAGGATGATGGTGAGGGAAATGAAACTCCTTCTCCCCATCAAAACTTCACTCAAATGTTGCAGCAACCACTCCAATCAACTCCGGAATTTCGTGTTAGTGGTTCAAACAATAGAGGTTGGTCGCGATCAGAAACTGCGGCTCTTATATCCGGCTAGAACACCAGCACCGACATAATTACCGGCACAAATCAAAAGAAGGGTGTATTTTGGAAGAGAGTCTTGGACGCATACGATGCTGCCAGGGAATCGAATGCAGATGAAATATCCCTACGAACTATTAGTAGTTTGAAGGGAAGGTGGATGCGAATCTCTGAAGCCGTGTTAAAGTGGTGCGGAAGCTATGATAAGGCCCGGAAGCGAAAGGGAATTGGCTATAACGAAGATGATGTTATCCAAGAGGCCCACAAAATCCATGAGAACTCATTCGGACGATTCACCTTCTACGAGGAATGGATCCAATTAAGGAAGTGGGACAAATTCCGGTCTTTCTTGGACCAACAAACATTCAAGCCTTCGGTGGGACGTCCACATTCAACTCCACTGACGGATGAGTCTGTAGGGAGCGGAAGTAGTGGGAAGAGGACACGGGATGAGGGTGACAATTCCTCACCTACCACACCAACCAGCGTGGGTGTCGGTGATGAGAGAGTAGCTCGTGCTGAAGGTATTAAAAAGGCTAAGTCGAGATTGAAGGGTAAAGCTCCATCAAGTCAAGCATTTAAGGAATTAGAAACATTCAACAGCCGATTGCAGCTACTTGGGGATTCGATGAATGTGTCAAACGAAGCAGAAATGAAGAGACTTGAAATACAGGAGCGCAAGGAGGCAAGGAAACAACGGAAAATTGAGCTAGAGCAATATAGGATCAACTGGGAGTAACTATCTCGTCTAGAACAGAAAGTAAACCGAGAACAGTGGGAAGACGAAATGATAGTAATACTTCGGAACAATATTCAACGTTTCAATAATGATGCTTAGTGTCCTTTATTTTTATTGTAGTTAAGTGTGTTCAATTCCTTTGTTGTTCTTCATTTTCAATAGTGATAAGTTTTCAATTCCAGTTCAACCTCTTGTACTCATTTCCTTATGTTTGTACTTTATCAATTAATCAGTAAAATGGATCTTTTCCACTTTCCCATTTTCATAGCCCATGTGATCTTATTCTGTTTATTCAATTATATCAATTTGTCTCTTTATATATAATTGTGTCAGTATCTTAATTTCCCCTTTGTTAGCCCATGTGAAACCCTTCTTCTCCATTCAATTTCTGTGTGGTTCTAATCCAGTGTTGGTCATAGCCCATGTGAAACCCTTCTTCTCCATTCAATTTCTGTGTGGTTGTAATTCATTGTTTGTCATAGCCCATGTGATCTTTGTCTCTTTATATTCAGTTATTTCTGAAGAAGAATTACAAATTAGTTCACTATAAATAAACACCATTCTTTCATTTTTTTACACACAAACACATAAATCGTTTGCAGTTACTATTAGCAAACCTCACTCTATCTTACATTTCTTACGTACAAAATGAATTCAAACAGTTTAAACGAAAGCTCAACCGATTCCTCTTCATCTTCATCTAACTCGGATGATAAGGGAAGGGAGCTTAGAGTTCAACAACGTAATGAAGTGTGTCTTATGATACAACACGTAATGCATGAGTACATTCCACCAATTATTCAAGCTGCCACTCAGCAACGCCGACGCAAATCTACTGAGCCCCGAAAGGATAGGGGACGCGAAGAAGGTCATGCACGGTTATACAATGACTATTTTGCGGAAGTCCCAGTTTATCCAAGTTCCTTGTTCCGGCGCCGGTTTCGAATGCGTAAACATGTGTTTGAGCGCCTTCTCAACGCAGTGACCCAACATGACCCCTGGTTTCAACAAAGGCGAGATGCGGCAGGTCGTCTTGGTTTGTCTCCACTTCAAAAGTGCACTGCGGCCGTTAGACAACTAGCTTACAGGTGTGCTTCAGACGCTTGTGATGAGTATGTTCGTATAAGTGAGGCAACTTCACGATTGGCACTCCAAAAGTTTACAGAAGGTGTCATCAACCTGTTCGGTGATCAGTACCTACGCCGTCCAAACATCGTAGATATGGAAAGATTGCTACGTATTGGGGAAGAACGTGGATTTCCTGGCATGATAGGCAGCATTGATTGTATGCACTGGGAGTGGAAGAACTGTCCACACGCATAGAAGGGGCAGTATCAAGGAAGAGAAGGAGTTGCAACTCTCGTACTGGAGGCAGTTGCGGACAGAGATCTATGGATATGGCATTCGTTCTTTGGGATGCCAGGTAGTTGCAACGATATTAATGTGCTTCATCGATCCCCTGTGTTCGAAGACGTCTTAGAGGGTCGAACACCTCCTGTGAACTTCGTAGTCAATGGTCATCATTATACGAATGGGTATTATCTTACTGATGGAATCTACCCTAGATGGGCTTCTTTTGTGAAATCCATTACGAGTCCACAAACTCGTCAGGATCGTTTATTCGCAAAACACCAGGAAGCTGCAAGGAAAGACGTTGAACGCGCATTTGGGGTCCTTCAAGCTCGTTTTGCCATTATTAAAAAGCCGTCTTTGGCGTGGGATACCGACATACTCCACAATATCATGCTCGCCTGCATCATAATACATAATATGATCGTTGAAGATGAACGAGAGACGTATCAAAATAACGTTAATACCAATGAGTTTATGAATGCTGGAGGCAACGCTAATGAGGACACTACCGAGTACCGTACTGATCGGATTGTGGATATCGGCTGCGTTTATTAAAAAGCTAATGAGGACACTACCGAGTACCGTAGTAATGAGTTTATTAAAAAGCTGCGTTATTGTTTAAAAAATATTAATCACAAGAATTAGTTTTTTAAAAGCTGATAAAAAAACGCGATAATTTCTTAATTAGTAATCACGATTAAAAAATTAAATACGTCAATTAATTACATTGACATCGAGTTAATAAATTATAATTATGAATTAAATAGATTATATTTACAAAAATAAAATAAGGTGGGGTAGGGTGTATTGATGATGAACCATTGTTTAGTGTTCATTGTTAAGAGTGAATATTGTAAATGGTTTGTTGGGTTGATGTGGATGAGAGAGAAATGGTGATAGTAACCCATGAACCATTTTTTTGTGTTCACCAATAATGATGCTCTTATGTACATTAGCTCGTCAAATTTGCTTTTACTTATTAAGTTCGGTATTTTTGAGGTAATATCATCTCGAGATTGAGGGATTAATGATCCTCCTCACTGAAGACTCGATCTCTAGAGGTTTACATTCTTTTACCCTCTCCCTACTTTTACAAAAACTTTTGTATACATCCGATTTACACTAATATTAGTGTACATCGAGCAGTATAGTGGTAACTTTAAGCCAATTTAGGATAACTTTTTGCCTTTTTTGGGTAACTTTGAACATAATATGATTTTTTTTATAAATCGAACAAGAAAAGTTTTATAAGGGTGATAAAATTACTTTCAATCACTAATAATTGAATTTAAGTCATTTAAAATGTGATTCTTTACCAATAAAACATAGATTATTTTTATTTGTATTGGGTTACTTTTATACATATTAGGGTAACTTTTATTCATTTTAAGGGTAACTTTTGATCACTTTAAGAGAGATTAAAATGGATGTACAATAATTATTGTATACCCGATTTTTTTAAAAGTTTGTGCTACCTTTAAGGGTCTTGCCTATTAATTCAGGTTGGATGTGCAAGGTGTTGGTCGGATATGATGCATTCTTAGAGTTCTTACCTAGTACTTTCTATACTTTACTATTATAGGTTGTTGACCTATTATATAACGTACTTATAATTTATTTTAGGGTGAAAACAAAATTCAACAATTTATACTAGGAATCAAAAGATTGTTTCATAGTCTATACATATATTTTGGCAACTTCTATTCGATTTGTGCACTTATGTTTTCTTGCAAAAGTAAAATAAACTTATGTACTACTAAATTAAGAAACCCAGAAAATTGAGATCTATGATCTGATCTCTACCTACCACAGATAAAATCTTAAAAGGCAACATACCAAAAGAATTTAGCCAAATAAAATAGAGCATAAGTGAAGTAAAAGAAGGTGATTATTAACTAAGGAAAGTATCCCACTTGTCATCCAACAAACAATTCCTTAGATTTCCCTACATTTTTATCCTTTTTTTTAATTGCTTTTTAATATTGCTCAGTATTAATACTAATTAAATTCATTAAAGTTGTTACTAGTAGTAATTATGCTCTGAAATGACAGTGTAATCTCATTAATTAGTGCCAAAATGAAAGATTAGGGTATTTAGATCTGAGAAAGTCAGCAAATCATTATGGTTGAAGCTGTATTAAATTAAAAAGATTTCTTTTTTTTTTTTTTTTTTTTACGTCTACTCCACTACTTTGGAGTGTTTCTCGTGAACGTCATCTACTTGCATCCTCTTGTAGTCATGTTCAACTTACCCTTTGGTAGTTTGGCCTTTCAATTACTTCTCTGTCTATTTAAAAGTGGCCGATATTCCACTTTTGAACGTTTTTTATTTTTTTATTATTGTCTCATACTATAAATGATATAAAGGCGACTATTTTATTCTTACCTACACTATTTTACGTCTACGAACTTTGTAAAAAATGATGGTGGAATGACAATTCAATTATAGAATTGGGAGAGCAAAAAAATGAGCGAGGTGTATAGTGTATATGATACACTTGAATGTAATTAAAACAAACAATTAAATTTGATGGTAATAGTGTATTGGTTTCATTAGGGAGTATGTATTTAATGCTCAAATAATGGTACCTTGTATTTTGTACTATATATAGTGTAAATTATTGTTCATATAGTTGTAAAATTTGATCGGAAGAGAGCAAAAAAAAAAAAAAAAAAAAATCCTTATATACTTGTATTTTTGTTCTTGATATACAAGTAGAGTAAACTTGGTGACACACCCCATTTGATTCACAAATATTGTTACACTTTGAATTGTCATTTTGACACTACTTACAAATATCATTTTGACCAATACGGGCATGTTCTCTTCAGTTCAGCTCAGCTCCAATTAATTCAGTTCAATTTAGTTCCTAATATCCTTCTCTCATAAACAATTCGGTTTAGTTAAGCTTCAATCAGTTCAGTTCAGTTCAATTTAGTAAATCAGAACATACCTCTAATCTACAATACAAGTATATATACATGAATACATGTAAGGAAAAAAAATTCTTACTACAACTTACTCGTAATAAATAGTTATTCGTATAACTCAATATATTTTTGAAATATTATCTTTTCATAATAATAACTAGACATATATTAGCTCAAATATATATACATTAATTGTCACATAACATAAAATGTATTTCATAACAATCTTTATGGAACTAATAGAGTAATTTACAAATACAAATTATGAGTAAATTGTGTCCTATACAGAACAAATTAATCAAACAACAATTTCACAAAAATAATTTTCTAAATCACAATTGTCATTACTATGTTCACAAAGTCCAGTAAATTGTCCAGAATAAATTTAGGTAGTGTCAAAATCTTTTCGAGAGCAAAAGGCATTACAAAATTACCACTTTCAAAGTCAGAATTCCAAGAAAAGAAACAAACAAAATTCACTAAAATCCAACCCCTAGAACAGAACAATGAAAAATTTGAAAAAAAAAATGTATAGATAGTAACTAGGGCTACATATAAGCATTAAAAATATTCTTAAAAATTGTTTAAATTTAGAAAATCATGATAAATTCACACTATGATCTACGCGTGTACCAATTGGTTGTTGGTGGAGTGGTGATTGGGACTACACTTGGTAGGGAGGACCCGTGTTAGATGCCCCGCAACAATAATTGGGAGGCGACTGGAACCTAACCACCCAGAACTGATCCCGAATCGGATTAGCCTAAAGGGTGAACCGGATGGAACACCAAAAAACATTGATCTACGCATGTTTTTGTCATGAATTTATAATTTTATGCAATTTCCAAGAGTGTTTTTAATGCTTATATATAACCTTAGGCTATGTATAACATTACCCAAATTATTTTAATTTTTAGGTAATTTTGACAAAATTCCATATATATATAAAAAAAATGAATAAAAATGCGGGTACTTTCTGTGGCTTGGGATTCTTCTAGTCTATCGTGCCTGCCAGCTTTACATATACACGGGCAAAATTTAGAGAACTGTTCTCTTCTTGTTTACTGTTCAATTCGTCGGTCAGAAATTACAACGAAAATTACTCCAAATTTTAATTAGTAAACAAATTATGGAATTATACCCAAGAAATTAGATTTATTATTTAATCATTCAATTAATTAAAAAAAATAGAAATTAAAAATAGAGCAGGGCATCACTGTCTGTCTGTTTAGTCTTCACTGGAAGGGAAGAAAGAGGTGGATAGAGAGAGAATTTTTGGAGAGAGAAAATTTGGAGAGAGAAAGTTAGAGAGAGAAAATAATTGAGAGATGATGATGGAGCTTTGGAGGCTCCTGATTATCAGCATTTTGGTGTTTAGTCCAAGCTTCATTAATGGTGACACAGATCAATCTGATGGTTAGTTCTTTTTTGTTTTTGAGCTAATTTTGATTTTATCTGCTTTTTTACTTGTTTTGTTCATCTGGGTTGCTGTTATTTTTGATTTTTAGATTGAATTGGTTTCTGGGTTTTGAAATTTTAATCGATTTTAGCTGCTGACATTCTATTTTTTTGCACTTTTTAATTTTTTTTTGTGGGATTTAATTGTAAAGATTGATTATTTTATTCTTTTTTTTGGGGGGTTTTGATTAAAGATGTGGTTTATGCTTGCTGATGTTTGTCATATTGGCTTGATTTTTGCATTGGGATTTTCTGGGTTTATTTTTTATTTCATTTTTAAATTTTTTGAGGTGGTAATTTTGATGGAATGCTGATGATTGATGACACTGATTGCTACAACGAGTATAGTGATCTTGTTTATCCAAGCTGGCAAGCTTACAATGAATTTGGTTTCTCTCTCTCTTTTTTTTTTTTTTTTTTTTAAAAAAAAAAAAGAATTTTTCTGTATTTCGGTTACTGAAATTATTGGTCAAAGGGTTTTCATATGCTGATGATCATGATGATATTCTTGCTAATCAATGGGGTTTTCTGGGGTGTGGACAATTGAGTTTCTCATAGATCTTTTGTGCCAATTTGCCTAGTGCAGCATTCTAGTACATGTATGGTTCGTTTCGTCGGTGGAAGGTGGTAATCAGAATAATTTTTTGTATATGTGCTAATAAAGTTATAGTTCATATGCAATTAACCCATGGAATCATCTCTGTTGTCGCTGTGTATTACCACCTACGAAACGGGCCATGGTGGTTGTTATGAATGCAGCTATATTTTCCCTACTTCATCACAACTGGCTTGTTTAGAGGCATTGTTCTGAGCTTGTGCAAATAAGGATAATTAGAGTAACGATGGTTGTCAGGACGATCTTGATGGTGTTATTGATTTCAGAAATAAAAGTTATTAGATTTTCTGCTTGACTAAGTCTGACTAAAATTGCTGAAAGTTGATCAATGTGATCAATATGATGGATTAAATGAAAAACCAAGTGGGGAGTTTTTGCCAGTTCTTATTGATTAAGACATATATGTGATGTTGATTCTCTCTTCAATTTGCAGCTTCTGCACTTAATGTCATGTTTAGCAGCATGAATTCGCCTCCACAGCTTACGGGATGGACTGCTAGTGGTGGTGATCCATGTGGTCAGTCATGGAAGGGTGTTACATGCTCAGGCT